GACGTCACGAGTCGGCGGACGGCGGGGCGCCGCCGGCCCCGAGCGGAGGGAGGGCGAGCGCATTCCAGCCGCCCCGCCGCAGAGCAGAAGGCGGACCGGAGATGATACCGCGATAGCAGGTTATCTCGGCCGTCATTTAAACTACGCCTCGGGACATTAAGTCGTTAGAAGGCACCCATCCGTGATAGCAGCGCTGGGAGTCGACCGATAGGAACCGGGAGCTGGAACGGACGGTAAGCAGACTGGTAAGGGCGGAAGTCGCGCGCCGGTGCGAGCTCTCGTAAAGGCTGCAGCGGCGGCGGGCCGCCGGCCGAGGTCGCTCCCACTCGCCGCCGCCGCCGCCGCCGCGGCCGTGGAACCCGGCGCCGAGTCGACAGACCGAAACACGGCGCCGCCAGCCGCCCTTGAACCAAATCGGCACTCACCCTGGCTGGAGGCGGAGGGGAGTCGGTCGACGGTTCGGTCCGTCTGCGGCGGAGGTGCGAGGGTCTCTGCCGGTAGCGGACCACCCGCCGACCCTGTCGGAGGCCACGCCGCGTGGGGGTGGGCAGCGACCAGCTGTGGACGGCTATCTGCCGTCCGACCGGCGCCGACAGGAGATAGTCACCGTCACGGCCAAACAAACACAAACAGGTACACAACCGTGGGACAACGAACGGCTGCTACCGAGCGGGCGAGCTATCAGGGCTGCCCTGACCTTCAGATGGACAGGCTCGGACCCCGGCGCTTCTCATTATTGGCAGGAAGTTCCTCCCGTGGTCGGCGAGGCCTTTCGGCGGCGAGAAGCTGACCAACAAAGTAGGCAGGTAAGCGGGTTGGAAGTTGGAACGCCGCGGCTATAAAAAACGGCGGCCCTCCACCCACTCTCCAAACATTGCATAAGTTACTGGCCGGCGTCGCTGCTGGCTGCAGCGTGCAGGCTGCACAGCCGCAGCAGCCTCCGCGTCTCCGCCGGTACCCATCTGTGCGTGTGCCCGGCAGTCCGGAGAGTGCGGTCATCAATCGCGTCTCGGCTCCTGAGTGCCTGGGCGCTCCATCTGCGTCGCGGCGGCCCGCGCCTCTCCTCCCTGCCTCTCCTCTCTTCCTGATCGCGTCAGACACACCCGAGCGAGCCGATCTCTCCGAGAATAAACACGACTGGCGCCGGCCGGCCGCCGCGCCGCGAGCTGGGGTGACCTTGTGGACCGGCGGCAGACGGGCAGATGGGCCGTCCAGCGCGGCCGCCAGCCACCAGAGAGGATACAGCCGCGGACAGGGAGAGAGACGAGCGGACGAGAGCTGGCCGGACCGGCTAGACCGGCCAGCCTGCTGACATGGGGGCGGACGCCGAGACCTCCCTGCCTCTCCTCTCCCGGCTGGTGACGTGTCGACCGCGGGCCGTCGCACCCGTCCGCGGTGTGCGCAGATGGATGACATGACGGCACCGCCCACCCGCTACTGTGCGCCGCCGTAACCAAACACAAAACACGGCCACCTCCCACCGGCGGACGTGAATCAGAGCACGGCGGCTCATAACAGCGAAACACGGCCCGGGTGGGACTGGGGTCAGCCCCGGGGTCTGTGCTGCTCCCGAGTATCACCATCAACAGGAAGGCCTGCATCCCTTTTCACCACTGTATCCGAGGTGGGAGTCCCTGCTATGGATCATGGAATGCATCATCATCTCTAGTCAGCTCGATAGGCCCTAGAGACGTAGACTGTATCCGTCCGAGCGGTCACTGAACTGTCTCCCCGGCTCAGCCCGCGCTATGCAGTGGCGACTGGCGACGCCACTGCGACCGGTCGCTGGCCTACAAACTGCTATCCCTGCAGAGGTCCTAATAAGGCACACCCAGGCATTCACGAGCATTCCGCCACCAGGGTGGCGAGGCCACACACAATTAATCTGCAGCGTCGCGAGTGTAATCATAAGCGGAAATCGGTCGCTCATGGCGCAAATGAAGCTATCGTTTGACGCACATGGTTTAGGGTGACAGTTTTTGATTGTCTGAGCGATTGGCCATTGACGGTTAACTGTGAACGTCGCGTGTCTCTGCACAGTCCAGCTGTCGGTCCAACTCAAGGCCAGCTCCGACCCCGGGCGGCCCGGCCGTCGGAAGCCCGGTTTAGCCCAGTACAACGATGGGAGGACCAACCGCGGTCCCAACCCGGCGGTCCAGCCACAGTACCAGCACGGCGGGCCAGCAGCGTAGCACTCTTATCCCAGACGACCAGTCATAGTCACAGTATAGCGGACGAGGCTCACTCAAACACGGCGGATTAGCAGCTCTCTCAGCCCGGGCACAGTCCGCTCGCTATCTGTCGCTGCAGCCAGCCAGCGTGCCCTGCCCGGGAGACAGTTTACAGTACCGAGCCTGTGGTGCAAGCTGATCATGGATAACGGCACTGCTGATCAGCTCAGGGCGGCTCAATAACAGTCGCCAGACCTGGTCCGCCGCGATAACAACATAGCGTTCATTTGGTTCATCATGGACACAGTCAGATGCCGCGCTGCACACAGACCGCTACCAGACATCCGACTGGATTCCGGGGCCAGGGACATGCGCCGCAACTTCCCGGCCAAATAGTCCTCTTCACGTGCCTTTTTATTTGCCAACAGCAAACAATGCAGGGAATGATAGCTAAGAAAAAAGAACAAAAAACAGCACATTGCATTTTAAAGCAATGATAGGTTTGGACACTGAAAAAACGAGGCTCACTCCAATGGATAAAAATAGAAGATAAAGATAAATGCCCTTCGTATTGCCCATTCTGATTCACCTTTGTGATGCTCCTGCTTCGGTAGCATCAAAATTAAGTCCTGAATGTAGGACAATAAGTGTTTTTATTGTCAAGAGGTGCCTTGAGTTAGGTATTTTGCTTTTGCACAAACTCTTTGTTTTGTCTGATTAGTGAAAATAAATGAGTATGAGTGACGAGTGTTGAGTATCCTAGATACCAAAGACTATAGTCCGGCACACAAAGATTGTTCTGCTGGACAACTTATTAAAGGCAATATCCTGCCATGTAGAGCAAAACCATTTTTATAGGACACTTATTGCTGGGAAAGGAAGTAACCACACTTCAACTAGAAAAACAGCTGCTCCCCAGCAATATATTCATTTTAACCTAGCCTACATAGGTATTGCATAGTGCCTACTGCCTACATAGCCTACATAGTCACTTTCAAATGGGACCCAGCACATGTTACAGTGCAACCTACCCTGTCCCTTTATCTACACACAATCTGACAGAACTGCAGCCCTCTTCCTAAGAATAAAAATAATGTTCAGCAACCACAGCCCATACAAAATAAGCTGGGCTAACCACTGGGCCTTGGATACAATACACATTACACAGCCATACTGCCTTGACACAGCCAAGCAAAAAAAAAACAGACAAGAGAGAAATGAAAAACGAGGAATACTGCTGCGGGCTGTACCATTGCAGGCACTAAACTTCACCTCAACCTGGCTAAGCTTGTAGTTGTGTGACTGATGTCTGCCTTTTTACTACTAAAATTAGCTAGGTTAGCTTCAAAAGATCTAAATACTTTTTCAATACAGCTTGGCTTGTGCCCTCAGCCCTAGGTCTCGTTACAAATTACAAATGCTTTTTCACCTTGGCTCCCGTTAGCCATGAACAGCTCATTATGATACTGTAATACGTAAGGTGCAATCAAAGCTTGGTAACAAGCACAAAAAATGGTAGGTGTTCACAATTCACACATCACTGTCAAGGAGCCAGGTTAATTGCTTTGGCCGAGCTGAAAACAGCTAAAAACAACAAAAATATCAATATTAGTGTGTAGTGGTAAGAGAAGGCATAAAAACTGGATAGATATCATATTCTGAAAAAAACTCACCTTAAGTGTGCCCTCCAAATCAATCTTTGTGATGCCCTCTGGTTCATCATGGGGCAACGGTTCATTTTTCAGGGCTTGGACGTTGTCCACCTCCATTTTTGGGGCTGTGTGGATATTCAATGAAGCCCCTAGCGACCGAAGTAAGTCTGTAGTTGTCCACGACACAGTAACGCTTGACAGGAAACTTATTTCAACAAAATAAGCGCAAAAAAGCGCAGAACCCTGACGCACCCAACACCCAGCACCTCTCTCACGAAACTGACGCTTTACGTCAAGGTTCATCTTTTGCTGCCAACTGCTGCCATATTCAGAACACCTAGCGACTTCTACAAAAATTACCTTAATTCTTGAGAATTGTCACGAGTCACGACGATAAAATGACTATGGATGAACCCCGGCCGGCCCTACTTCATTACCATTTTCTTTTCATAGAAGTTATAACTTTCTATCAAATTTAAGCTTTTAGGTATGAAACATTCACTTGAAGGCATAAACGAAAATACCAGAATGAAAGTCCTGCCTGAGCCAAGTTTCTCCCAAGGAGATGAGATTGCCTAAGACGCAATACAACTATACAAATTTTGCTGGTCAGCTTCCCCACACGTTGTCCGAGGCTTTCTGCGTTGCTTAAAACCGTATCTTAAAACAACGATGTGCGCTTATAATATAGAAGACCTAGGTGTTTCATTTTTCAACTTTCAATAGATTCTCATTTTCCATCACGTAGATCTATTCGTCCCTATCTTCTCAGGATCTGAGGAAAATCTTAGGGTCAGTCAGTAAAATTTCGCAGAAAATCGCGGACCATTGACAATATAGCAAATTTCTATAGCAACAGGTTGTTGCGTCATAACGTATGGTAAATTGCGTCATCAGTGAACCGGGTGAACCAATACAGAGTATAACCGGTTTAACCAATATCGGTCTCATACCGATGACGTATTGTTGGTCTGGGCTTCCGATTGCATTATTCCTGGACCATGGATCGCGTCATGCAAATCATACCTACATAATCTATTACACATTACACAACACCAAATATTAAGTCAAGAAATTAAGTTGGGCCGTTTAAATTACAGTTCAAAAAACAGTATGCAATACCAAACGGGATTCGCATTTTCAGAGCAGGCTTCCGGCGCTTTGAGGGCCATTCTCGTGCAAACGAAAGTAACTGTCACGTCCCAACGATATACACAATGTGACGACGATAAATACGATATTCCACGACGGTCGTGCCATTTATATTCTACTAACATAATTGCAGAATCAACCTAAGCAAATCTGAAATATTTCAAGTCAGGCACAAATATGTATATGCATACACCACAGTAATACCGGAAGCAGTAACATCGAATCAAATGCCTTGAGACCAAACATACAAAGCGTTCATCAAAACGTTATAAGTCCAAACAAATATGTAGAACGAAATACAAAACAATCAATGCCGTAAGAAAACCTGCAAATCATGACGAATGCGATACATGGAAGCGTAACAAGCTCGTGCAAAAGTTACCACACTTGATTCGTAAGGTTCCGTAACAAGCAATAAGGCACGGCACATCGCAGAAAATCAAGGCTGTGCTTCGAAAAAGGCTGCGGCGTGACCATTGTGAAAAAGCACACTGGCCGCTAAACGAGTGTTTAAAGTATAAACCCTCCAATACCGCCGTTCAACTGTATGTGCGTGGTATTATGAACTCGCAAAGGCACCCTGATACCATCATCTTATGGCAACACAACTGAACGACAGTTGACCTCCAGTAAACAACGCTCAGCCCTGTGCAGTGTGCGTGCGTGTAGCAAATCACTCGAAAACCCGACATGTATGGTGCGTTTTCGATCTCCCGATCGGTAACCCCACCCACAGAGACATAACACCCGAGGCACGCGGACGAAGGGACACTTCGGTCCCGTCAGCCAGCTGGCACCCAGAGGTTGTGACATGGCTGGAATGGCACCTAGCGGAGTAACAGGCACCAACTGTTTTCCAGGACTGCTGGACGCGAAGGACACATCACATTCACAATCGGTGCAGTTGGCAGTGTCATTATAATCACCACACATCGCTACAATCCACCTATTAACCGAGGTCCCTGTTAGTCCCAGAACGTAGGCCGTTGGTATGTGGTAAGTACACCATTCTCTACCCTTCCTTCTTCTATACCTTCTATATCCGTCAACCCATCAGCTGAACCGCCATACAGTCCCAACGGACGGTGTTTTGGGAGTATCCCAGGCTAATCTCAAAGCACTAACGAACCCATCGACTAACAGTTCTTCTCTCCCATACAGCAGTTACCGCAGCCGCACCTTCCCATGACTCCCAGTTTAGTCCCCATGTTCCCATACCCAATGTCTGATGCCTTTAGTGTCACAGCATCGCTCTCATGTGCTCACGTCTCTCGATCGCTCGTTATTCGTTGACTGGACGTCACGACCAGGTTAGGCGGAGAGCTGGTCAGACCAGGTCGAGTGAGGTCACGCAGAACTGACTGAGGTCAGGCCGAGCTGGGCCAGGTGTCTGACCGGGTCGGGTCAGACCGGACAGGTTCAGACCATCTATCCAAGGACGGCTCCGGCCGCCCTGGTCAGCGCCGTCTCGATGCTGCGGATGTCCTCTGGCTCCATCAGTCTATTGCAGGTGACGCGGATGGCCGGCGGAGGCAGGCGGTGCTCCTCCGGCTCCAGGTAGTGGGCACGCGTCAGGGCGATACCGGCCTCCCGACACTGGAACACATAGAAACACACAGTTACACTGGGCCCGCGTCAGCGCGATACCGGCCTCACGGCACTGGAACAAAACACATGGGTATAGTCACAGTCAGGGCGATGCCGACCTCACGGCACTGGAACACATAGAAACACACAGTCACACGTCAGGGCGATACCGCCTCTCGGCGCTCACGACACTGGAACACAACACATGGGTATAACTGATCTGAGGCAGTCACACTGACAGGGCGATACCGACCTCCTGGCGTAAAGATATGCATACAGTAATACATCAGGGCCATACAGGCCCCCGGCACTGGAGCGCAAGCTTATATACAGTCACACCGGATTCAGTCAGGGCGACAGCGGCACCCGATATTGGAACGCACAATACATACATTCCTCATGATTGTTCCAGGCCGTCAGGAGCTAAAGAACAAACTTCAATACAGTAAGAGGACATGGGAAACGGCCATTCCACCCCATCCTGTGCCACTTTCTCAGGCCACAGTGACACGGGCGTCACTGAGCCGACCCGGTCCAGAAACTGACGCCATGTGACGGTCAGCCGGAGATCCCACTCGGCTCAGCCCTCAGATCAGCGCCGAGTCCGCCGCTGAGTCTTCAGATCAGCGCAGAGTCCGCCGCTGAGTCCTCAGATCAGCGCTGAGCCGAGGGCGGGCCAGCACAGATCGACACAGGGATCAGCGCGGATACAAGCCAAAGTCGAGACCTTCACAGGGGATAATAACGACGCGGAAGTGGACATACTTGCCTAAATGTTGCCGTCCGACTGTGCAGCGCCGGGAAATTAACATATGCATCAGGAGATGGAGAGACGAGGCAAATCGGATCGTCACCAGCTGCAGGTCCGACAGTGTCTGGGTGCGGCACAAAAATAGAAGTACCGCAGCATTGTGAAACAAGGTTATTTTAATACACCAGAATGACACCCAGCGGTACAATACATATTTTATTTAAAGGTAGTGTGCCACCTTTGAAAGATTTCCCATTTTATTTTTCCTAGGATAAGAAGCTTCTGTTTTTACATAATATCGCAAAAAAAAAATCAAAAATGGGCCTGGAATAGTGCCTTTTTCGCCTAAAAGTTTTTCGGTTTTTAGATATGTATAACAACTGTAGTGGGCTCACCTGCAAACAGGCGTCGGGCAACAATCGCGAATGCGGCGCACTTGTGACAATAAGCAAAGGTCATTATAGTGTTGCGACCATACGACGTACGGGAATGAGTTATCAGCTGTCTAATCGTAGACAACACAATGTCGAGCCTTAAACTGTAAGCCCGTATTGGTATTGTTTCTTTTATTTGGCTGTCGAACATTATTTATGGTTTGAAATATGATTTTATGTAAAATAATTGATATGAAAAAGCCGTCTTATAAGTTATGACCCCATTTCACCACACGCAAGTGGCAGAAATGACAATGATCAGCTGACGCATTTTTCTTGGCCGAAGTCAGAGCGCGCGGCCCGACGCACCACGCGTATTTGGAAATTCCGACCTCGACGAGCATCAGAAGCCACCTAACAGGCGTGTTCGAAACCGCAGGAGATGATGATGAACGGGTTTATCGAAACTTGATTGGATGAGCATATCGGTAATAGCGATTTCAGTGTGTGCATTTATTGTTCATAGTGGTGTGAAATGTGGTTGGGGTACGACCGACAACCCGTCGGGGCGAATTTCGCACTGGGGTACTCGAAATTTGAAGAATTTAAGACGTTTCCATGAGTTTTGAAGGTATGGATAAGTTCTAAAAATCCGTTTCTCCTTATCTGGGCCATTAACTCCATACGGTCCAAGAAAGCTGGCACACTACCTTTAACACAAATGAACAACAACAAGCTGTCATTCACTAGGTACATCTAACTATCAGACCACACTTTTGAAAATTAACTGCGACGAATAAAATGAATGTCCGACGGTACCGAAATCCCACGATTCTCTGATAGTCTCGAGCCAGTCACGGCACTCCTGGGAATTTTCTGTCGATCGTCACACGGCCGCATCTTCACGACACGTCATGAGCGCGACACTGAACGCTGATGCGCACTCCGAAGGACAGAGAGCACGCCAAAAACTGCGCCAGTGTCACACGTCCCAGTCGTGTTTTCCGCTCACAAACAGGGATGTGTGAGAGCTGAGTGTGAGGCTGTCCGTCGCGGCGGTGGGAGAGGACGGCTGCGCGGCGGACAGACAGTGGTGGAGGGGTGGGCGGCGGACGCGCACGGACCACCCACGGACAGGACCGCGACCGGTCGGCGCCACTGAGAGGTCACCAGATGGACCGGGGACACGAGACATGAGAACGGCACGCAGCGGGGGAATGCAGCCAAACGGGTGTGGCTGAAGATGATTTCAAAGTGCAAAATATACGAAAGTCCTAATAGTGTGGTGTGGGCGAGCTGATTTCTATAATTTACTGCCCTGATGATCTGCTGCACCATCCCAGAGTTTTACCGACTGTACTGAATCCGCTCATCTAAAGGGTGTGCAGATTTAGAATACAGATCCTGATTGCAGCGCCGGTCGTTGTTGTCCTGCTATTCGTAAGTTTGTAAGAGACTGATGAGCGGACCATTCGCCGACCGTTATGAGTTTTGGACGAACTCTCCTTTGGGAAACTTTCCACGGTTCCCCTCCACCCTACGGAGGCGTAACTGAGAACCGCACCCCCCCCCCCCCCCCCCCCCAGATGCCTCTCCACAAGGAGTGGGCAGAATCCAATCATCACCGGTTGACATCAGGCACCAGGACTGAGCTAGGAACTCCCCCGACTTCCCGGATGTGATGCGATGATGTCCAGACTCCCGGGCCGCGTATTGACGTCAAAACAGTTGAGCCATAACACCGCAGCATTGTAGGCTGCGCGGGTTGGAGGGGAAAGCGATAAAAGCCAAGGGGTTAACCTCACGGTGGAGTATAAAACCACTATCGTAGTCCGTGGTGACCGGGGAGTCCGAGCCCCGAGGGTTGAGTTGACGCATACCGTGCGGCTTTGTAATCATTGCTGCTGATGCTGTAGGCGGGCAATACCCCTTCGTAGTACTTAGGTTGATGTAAACAGCAAAAATATGTAGTAAACGTAGTCTGGAAACCCCACAAAACGAATCACCGCAGATCTTCATTCGTGTGCAATAGTCAGTACAACTACAGATTCTATTCTTCTGAGCGCGGAATCACGACACCGGCCCGCCGTGCCGCCCGCCCCGACAGCCTTACACCGAGTCTGCGCGCTGTTTTTGTGCCATCCGGCCCAGTTAGATGGCTGGATAGCGCCACAACCGACGAGCTGGCGCCCCTCAGCGACAGGGGGACCCGCTACAGACGCTGCTTATCAGAGAGCATGCATCAGATGCCGGGCACGGAACGGGGCAGGAAAGCACGACCGACGAGTTTAGTGATCAATGTCAGAGCGTTAGCCGTCACACAAGCAAGTTGTCAACTAAGCTGTGCCACTGACATGAGGTAATAATCACTGGTCGGTTTATTTTTTAAAGTCGTTCAGCTGTCCATACCACCAAAAAGTCACAGCCAAGGCCCTAAATACACAGTCACAGCGGACAGTCACACAGTCACAGTTCGATCCAGCATTAGGCGGCTGGAACCAGTTAGAACCAGTCTGTCTGTGCCACGGCCGGCATCCACGGTCTTCAGTCTCACCTGGTCCACGATGTTCTGAAGGACGGCCTCAGACTGCTGCCGCTCCAGCCGCGGCTTGGACAGCTGTAGGAACTTGACCGGCGAGACCTCGTCACCGCACAGCTCCAGACTGCCGGACAGAGACGGGTCAAACGACAATGCGTAGAGCTCTGTATACACAAGGGTATAGAGACCAATGGCGTAACTTCAACTCTAAGCTGCAGCACAAAACAGCGTAGGTGTGCCAGAAAAGAAATCGAATACCATTGTGAAAAACGGCACAGATAGATAACACGTCAAAATAAGGTAACTATCACATCAATAAATGACAAAATAATGCGACAATTTAAGCCGTTACCAGTTAACACACAAGCCCAGCGGATTCAGTCTGTGAAGTGTGACCCCCTCTCATTTGTCCTCCCGCAGCGTGTCCGTACCCGTCGATGTTTGCCAGCGCCTTGTGCATGGCGCGACAGACGCTGCGCAGCTTGGCCGTCATCTCGGGCTGTTCGTCCAGCTGGTCGATGACACACATGGCAGCGGCAGCGCACAGAGGTGCCAAGGCGGCCGAGAACACGTAACCTGCGTGGCACAAGGAGCAGGGTTAGCCCGGGAGGAAAGTGTGCTTTGGACGGCACACATTACACAGACAGGCTGACGGGGCGGGATAACTACAGATTGAGACTGGCTCACTGGATAGGAAAGCTAAGTTGGGGGCGGTATATGATGAAGATTCAAATAAGCCGGTGTTAAAGTACACCCCCTCTATTTACCCTGTCCGCTGAGCCGCTGGTGGTCGGCCACGTAGAAGGATCCGGTGGTAAATCCGCCCACCGAGCCCAGCGACGCCTCCATGCTGACACAAATCAGGTCCACGTCACGTGCCTGCCAGACGACGGGAGGTGAGCGGATGACACAACAAACGAAACAGCACGTCTTAGGCCGACTACACGGAAACGGAGCAGCATTCAGTAATGTAGTATCGGGTTGAGCATTGTACAGTTCACAAACAAATAACACGGTTCCGCAGCCGACGAGTCACCGCAGCACCCTTAAGCCTGAAACAGACTCTTTCCGCAGTCAGGAAATCGCATGCGAGAGCCTATTCAAATACATGGAAGCACGCTCGCAGCAATCGCACGCACCTCCCGCAAGCGATTGATGCGAGAAGAATTATTATGTTTTTGAATAGGCTCTCGCATACGATTTCCTGAACGCGGAAAGAGTCTGTTTCAGCCTTTACTATTCCCCAGCGGTACCCGGGCAGATTAAAAGCCACGACTGTGTCCCCATTCGTCAAGACGAAGTGTATGCCATAATTCACCCCACTTGCACTACTGCAGCCGACGCTTCCCGATTCACCCACCGTGACTCCAAAGTGTTCGGTGAGCCCGCGTCCGGTGTCTCCCAGCACTCCGAACGACAGCGACTCGTCGACAAACAGGCGCAGCTTGTGGGCCTCCTTGAGTCGCAGCAGCTCGGGCAGGGGGCACACGGCACCCGTGTTGGCGTATATACCTTCCACCACCAGGAATCGGCGCACCAGCGCCGCCTGCTTCGGCTTCAGCTAAACGAGGGGGAAGACGTCATGTTAGAGCGTGACCAATCAGTCTTGAGATGTTTGAGTTTGAGAGTTTGAGATGAGATGAGATGCATTATGGTGGTTTCGTAAACAGGCCTCGTCAAGCGAAACATAGGCTCAACTCTTTTAAACTTCAGGTGTGAAGGAGGTTCTGAACGAAAACATCCCCAGCACAACAGTCCGACAACTCAGCAAGCTCAGTTCCCGTTCGCCTTTTCGCACCTTTCCCTAAAGCAGCCGCCTGAATGACCCATCCCAGGGAAAGGAGGAAAGATAAGGAGAAAGAGGAACTGAGGAACCTTCAGTTCTTGCTGACCAGACGGCCCATACGCGGGGAGGAAGTAGAGGTGGCTTACCTTCTTGCTGGCCTTCTGTTCCTCTACACCAGCTGCTCCAGGTGACAGGACTAGGAGCAGGGCTGAGGAGTCGATGGATTTTCGGCGACTCCGACTCCGACTCCGGCTTTCAAAAACCAGCTCCGACTCCGACTCCGACTCCGGGCAGAATTGTCGACTCCGACCGACTCCAACTCCCGACTCCGACTCCGCAGACCTAGCAGGGCTGCGGAGTCGACAGATTTTCGGTGACTCCGACTCCAACTCCGGCTCGGTTTTCTAAAATCGACTCCGACTCCGACTCCGGTCACAACTGTCGACTCCGACCGACTCCGACTCCGACTCCGACTCCGACTCCGCAGCCCTGACTAGGAGGGACCATTACTGGTTGTAAGGAGTGAAGAGCAGTAGCTCACCTTTTTGCTGGCCCTGCTAAATATGCTCCTAGATCAGCTGCGCCAGGTACTAGGACGGACCACTAGATAGAGGGTGGACCTGAAGCTCACCTTTTTGCTGGCCTTGTTGTGCTCCTCGATCAGCTGCTCCAGGTGATCTATCCCGGCCGGAGGGATACCCTACCTTTTTGCTGGCCTTGTTGTGCTCCTCGATCAGCTGCTCCAGGTGGTCTCTCCCAGGGAAGGGTGGAGACTGGATCTGTAGCTTACCCTTTTGCTGGCCTTGTTGTGCTCCTCGCTCAGCTGCTCCAGGTGGTCTCTCCCAGGGAAGGGTGGAGACTGGAGAGGCGTCTTACCTTTTTGCTGGCCTTGTTGTGCTCCTCAATCAGCTGCTCCAGGTGGGCTGTGTCGTTATGGCGGAAGTAGCGTATCTCACTGCGGGACGCCTGCAGACCCTTCTGGATGGCGAAACACACCGCCTCGTCTCTGGAACATGGAGGGCAGACAGGTCAGACTGTGAACGCTCAAAGCAGCATGCAGGTGTAAATCACTAACTTACCGAAAAGTAAGCAACAGACGACAATCTGAATCAGCACGATCAACAAGACCGCGAAAACACCTAATCACCCGACCCAATTATCAAGAAGCCGGAAACACAACATACCAACACTGAACACGGATCGCAAATACGTCGAGCTCCTTTAATTCCTCTTTCTGACCCCCACATGAAAATTCGGTGGAAAGGACGGTGGAACGTCTCGTCAACCGTCTATCTAAGACATGGTGCTGAGCTAGCGAAGACTTACGCGAAGATGACGTCCGACCGTTTGGCGTAGGCGGGTATGGCACTGGCCACGGTGGAGAATCCCAGCGAGTACAGCACCGCCTCCTCTGTGCCCAGGAACTGGGTGACGCGCTTCTCCAAGTCCAGGTGCACGTCTGGGGACAGAGAGCGGTCAGACGGGGAGGGCAGGGGACGGACAGAGGGAGGGGGGGAGCGCAAGGCCCGCTATCATAAACCATGACACGTCAATCACAAGGCGCCAGAAGGGCATATGACGGTGACGAAGACCGTTTGCGCAAAATATTCAGGTGATCCTCGTCCTAATGGAAAAGCATAACAGTCGCAACACTAAATCCAGCTCCATCTCAAGGAAGATGAGCAATGAGTATATACCAGACCAGACAACTACACCTTTTTGCGTTGTTCGATGGCCAATCAGCAAAACCCATTCGTCCGATCAGCACATACAGGGTGTCCCATAAGTTCCTTCTCACCTAAATTTTTCTTTTAGAGGCTCTCTTATTTAAAGTCACGCTTAATTTATTTTGTAACTGAGCTTTTGGGGTTGCCATGGCAACTGTGAATGTGCTCCACGGTAACTAATTCGTCTAGACAAAATATTTTTTGCCAGAGAGTTCACTTCCTGTGGAGACGGCTTACGCCGCAACATAGAGGTCTCCGATACGGGAACGTCTCGGTATTTAGTCCGCACTGGGCCATTCACAACGGCTGAGGGTGATTGAGGCCATCCAGTATGTAGCCAATGTCTGTCGCTAACTGGACGCACAGTCAACAAGTGACGTCGATGATTTGTCGGGAGTCAATCGCTGCAAGTTTATGCTCTTTTTTTGTCAGCTTTCACGAGTGAGCCATGTGGCCAAAACTGTGTGGCGCTAAAATGGCCGTCAAAAAGGTCTTAGCGTTAGAAAGTTGGTAAACATGCTTTTCAGGATGCATTACCAGCTGTCTAAGAGTATCATTTCAGGGTACCTAACTCAAGGTGACTTAAGCTCTACTTACCGGAGGGCTCAAAACAGTCAAAAACGTCTTAAAATGGCCAAACATGTGTTTCGTTATGCCTGAGGCTAACAAAACTGGAGGGCCGATGACATCAATGTGGTCATCTGGACTACCTAGTCCGTGCTCGAGATAAAACACCCGTCCAAACCCCAAAACGGTCCCATATGGGCGACGGAAAAGGCCTTTGTGTCATCCCGCTTTATTCCTATACAAAAGGCCATGGTCACGGTAATGTGGGGTAATATGCGTCCAGACACTGATCACGTTGCGATTGATACTCCAGAAACAGTCTTGGGACGCAGAATGCTTCTCCAAGAAGATCTAGGAGGAGTTTCAGCTTTCTAGCTTAACTCGAACCGCAAGTATGACCACATTTTTTGAGGAGAAAATGGCATCCGGGAGGTCGTAGGCCCATCTTCAAGCAAGACAGTGCATCAGTGCACAGGTCAAGCAAAGCTTAGAAGCGGTGCCAGGAGACTGTGATAGGCGTCTGTGGCAAGTTCACATCCCAGGCAACTCATCGGATCCAAATTTCATAAAAATGTGTTGGGAATATTGAAATCGAGGCTCGTCGAAGCGAAGCGGTGTTCCAGCATTGAGGAGCTCACGGCCCATGCCAAGTCAGTCTGGGCTAACTTCAAGCCTGCTATGCTGCCAAACATGCCGGTTGGCATGTCGCAGCATGTATTCATGTGTTTGCCTATGAAATGGGGAGCACATTGAGGGACTATAAACATATCAAAACGCAATGTACTCTGCTTTACAAGCAAATATAAGGTGAGAACGAACTTATGGGACACCCTGTAGGTGGCGCCAGTGAGAGGCATTCCGGCAAAACCTTCAGCATATGGGCAAAACGGAATGCTGATCCCACTCCACAGTTCGTCAGTTGGTATTACCTTCGCTATTCGCCATAACTGATTGAGTTCCGGCAAAACCTTTGACGATTTGGATAAATGCTTCGTCATTCGTTAATATCCCTTCGTCTTTCACCAAAACATCCCCATGCTAATTTCGGCATTCCTCATAACATTTCGTCAAAACTAAAAACAAATCCCCCCTTTACAGAGAAGTATAAATATGACCACGTTCATACAGTGCAGTGCGAGGCATAGGTGGCGAAACTCGTAGGCCATTTATCCACACAAAAAAAAATTGGTAGCGTTCATGAGCGCCATAGGTAAGTATGTACAATATAGATGAACGTAGCTGACATGTTATCGGCTGATTCATGATTGAAACATGGACAGGCAACAGAGCAACAGGCTAGATAAGTTAACCCCGCCTCAAACACCAAGGTGTCACCAAGGAACAGACAACAAGCTGGATAAGTGAGCCACGCCCCAAACACCAAGAGGTGTCCGGCCGGCAGCGCCTGGCTCGCCATCTGTCAGCCATTCCCTCGCGAGTCCGACCGGCGCGGCCGCCCGAGGCGTTGTCCCATAGCATCGCACGGACAGTGACGCGATAACGACGGCCGACTTCGTGGTTTGTATCGAAGCGTTTAAAGGGACTATCCCACCTTCTAAAATGTTGTTAAAACCAGTTAAATTGTGCCCGACTTTATAGATTGGATGACCAGGAACACGGTTCTGGCATTTATTTTTCATTAAACATCTTAGGTTCCCATATTCCAAACACAAACATTCAAATATGTGACGTCACAGCCCAAAACTACCTCCTTCCCCAGGCCACATTACTGTCATAAAGCTGATTCTTTTTACTCTGTAGGCACCACAACAAAGTTCAGACCAAGTTTTAAGCGATTTTTCAACGAACAAACCCATTTAAATCAGAATGACTAAACGAGGTGACGTCACACTAACGGTCGCTCCATGTTGAAGATAGGGCCTTGTACAAGGCCCATTTTCAAATGAAGGGAACGAATTTCTTCAACACCAAGAGGCCGCGGGGGTTGCAACCTAGATAGATAGTGGTTTCTGAACCTCGCCGCAAACTTGGCTATCTCAACTCAAACCCCATGTTAAAGGTGGGATAGTCCCTTTAAGAGTCCGACGCTCAACCATCTACATGCCTACTCGGTATTGTGCCGGCAGTCTCCTCGTAGCTATCGTATAACTGCCTTTTTCGGAATCCAGTGGTTAATTGGTTGCACATTGCGTTGGAACTGTCGCAAGCCTCATCCATGAATGTGTAAATAACGTTAAACATTTAATATGGCTAGATAAGCACTACATCATTGACATTTTGATCATTGACGAAAGTTTTAAATCAACAGTCATTGTTTACGCACAGTACCGATGAATTTTGCACAACGAGTAACCATTTTGTGAAATGTCGAAGCATTATGACAATCTGACAAAGTGTTTTGCCTATGGCGAACGTTGTGCTGTGTGCTCAATGACAAAGAGTTATGCAGAATGGTTAAAATATGGAGTCCAGCCTGTTTTGCCGACCGTCAAACAGTGATGCACATCGCCGATGGGTTATTCTGAATGACGCTTGTTCAAACTGATGCCGAAATGGTTATGACGATTGGCCATCGAACAACGCAAAAAGGTGTAATAACTTCCACCCAATCAACCCGTGAAGACTATCGAAACTCCGAGTATAACTATCGAAGCACCAGAAAAGGCCTCTTTCTCTCCACTGGTCCGCCCCCCCCCCCCCCCGCCCCGGCCCGATACCATGTCCCCTCCCCTTCCCGCCGCGCCACTGACCGATGGTTCCGTAGAAGGCGCGCGGCCCGCACGAGCCGACGCCGTACTTGCGCAGACAGCGAACGGCCGCCTCCTCCACCCGGTCGTCGCCGACCATGCCCAGGAAGTTGTGCGTGGCGGCGTTCAGGTACTGGCGGCCTCCGATAGTCACGTGCTTCCCCACCTGAGGAGAGGGGCAAGCGGAGTGAGTCAGATCGACCTGATCTGTCAGCTGGTACTGGTAGTGTGAACACCAGAGTGAAATAAGGAAAAGCGATCGCCGGTCATATTAAATCATTGCAGCGAAAATGCGAAAACATGTCGCAAAAGTACAAACGCGTCCAAATTGAAGCAGCAATGAAGAGAATAAACGCTTCATTATCCTATAGCCTGCATCCACTGGCACCCCTTCCTGGCCTTCCAAACCACGACTCATTCGTTTAAAGTCGGTCACTCACCTTTCCTTGGATGACGTCATATTTGATGGGGTTCAGGTCAGCGTCATCAGGCACCAGGGGCTCAGGAGTCCACTCTTGAATGAGCTCCTCCTTCTCCTGAACAAACAACCGACACAGGGTTAGACGGTGAAGCACGCACAGTTAAATTTTATATGTTTTAAGTGAAATGCACACAAAAGGTCGAAATTTATTATGACACTCAGTTTTGCGGATCAAAATAATAAATATACAGATGGCATGGCTTCAAAATAATAAATATACAGATGGCATGGCCAAACGGCAAAGAAGCCGACTCGCAGAAACCGTATTTCCACATAAAAAGTGCAGCACAATGACACAATGAAAGGACTCCAGTTACCGGCGTGGACAAAATAGCTCACATTGACGAACACGAGTGTTTTGGCAATAACGTTTACAAGCATTAGACGAACCAACTGACGAATAAGCTTTGGGGATGCGTGTAAAACGCAGGAGTGACAGACATTTCAGTTGAGATTCATCCCAAGAATATGAGAAAGAAGCAGTGCAGCTGTATAAGCAGGTTGTCAGCAGTTGCCTGCTGTAACAGTTGCCTGCTGTAACACGAGTGAAAACGTGGACAACGAAAACGGGGACGTGAGCACGGAATACGGATGACAGTGACACTCAAAGAAGGGACCAGCGAAGTGCGTCAAACACATAGCAGCGAGACACTGAGGCATGTGCGGAGGTGCGACACTGGTGGAAGGCAGGCATTATGGTGATGGACGCTGGTCGCTGACAAGTACTAAGTGGAGTGCCCTTCTGACTGAGACTGACATAACCTAACATCGACAATCGACGTGATCGACAAAACAAAGCGTGACGTGACGGTCTGACGTGGCTGCCGGCCGACGCAACACACTGGTGGATGAACTCACATGCTCAGAGAGCCTATCCCACAGGCTGGCCTGACGACATGAAGTTCAGGGTTAGTTTGAGTGGGAACTGGGAATACACACATCATGTGAATGTACACGGACATTACGAAAATACGACAGACTTTTAAAAAGTGATGTCTATTTTGTAATCTACAAAAGCTACGAGGAAGTCGGGCTGTCATTTTCGGGACCATAGCCATCCACTTTGCCAGCGAGGTAAGCGAATCCCTCATGCCTTAATTGTACAAGTCTACACCAGACCAAACAATCCATTCTTAAGGCTGCGACCATGACTGTGTTATCATGGAAACACTACCCACATAACATTAGTCAGATTGTCCAAAGGGTGAACGTCTGACAGCGCCAGGCCAAACCAAGACTCGATAATTATGGGTCAGGCTTTAGGTAACGTTTACCTACCATACATTCTATAAAAATAATGGTCTTGTGAGCTGTGACCTGACACTGTGTTTCCTATAATGCAATGTCAATAGCAGGCTTTACTTGATGGAGCTCGGGTGCATTCCACGGACACTGGACATGATCATTGGCGGTGTTTTCAAACCAACATTGCAGTCGCAACCGTAACAAAAAAGGATAACAAAAACGCCTTGATGGGCGATTATACTTCTACTACGAGCGAGGGATCAAGGCTGCACTCATCGCTGGCAAAGACTGACCGCGGGCAGTGGAACATACCTTCTTAACTTTTAGAATTTAGAGTGTACTTGGAACTCACCTTCTCTGATAACGAGGACTTAGATTTTTTAGTCCTTTTCAGAATCAGACTAAGCACCCAGATGATGAGCACCGCCTCCAATATCAAGTGGTAGATCGGAACCTGAAAGGTTGCACATTGTAAGCAGCATTCAGACAGCCAGCTAACATCATTTGCTCTCACTCCCTTCCTCCGCCTTATGAGAGGACTGAACAGACATGCATACTTATTACACAGCACATACTGATCTCTTTAACCCATGCACTGCTGGGGGGGGGGGGGGGGGGTTGAACACTCCTTTGAGGTTTTTCACGAATATCTCAAAAAGGTTTTTGGCACACCTTTTCATGCACATGCTGTAAAAGTTCAGACCGAGGTCACTCAAGGTCAGGTCACCAGGTCACTTCAAATGACTTCAGCTCATGAAAAGTTCAAGGTATGCCATAGCCAGGGTTACTATTACAGGAAAAGTCGAGAGGGGGAATAAAGTTCGGGGCAAGGGCGGATCCAGGGGCATCTGAAAGGGGGCCCAATTTGCCATTACGTTTTTGTTAGGATGGCGCCTGCAGAACCTTACCTACCCCCAAATCCTACTCTCTCCCCGGATTCTGGCCACTTTATATTGTTAGGTTGCTAAAAAAAAAAATAGCTAAAAATATACGTAGGTACCTTCCTTGGCGGTAGGGGGCGGGGGAGGTCCCAACTTGACTGCGCCCTTGCAAATGTCAATCAGTAGTATCAACCTATTACCCTGGCCAAACATCAAGTAGAGCCTTTCTAAATAGAGAGAGGTTAACACGCGGGCCAAGACCGATTGAAGGACCCTGGTTCGAAGGAAGACCCTTGGTTCGGAGAGGTCATGACCCCCGTCCCCCACCGGTTTCTACACCGACGCCTGTAGCGATATGTCAGTGATTGCGAAGGACGGAAGAGACAAGACAAGAGACGGTCCCACCGACCATCCGATCGGTATCGGGTCAAATCTGGAGTTCCCGCTGCACTGAACGTAAAATGGTTGGATGGAACCTCAAAGTGAAAATTATCTAAGCGCCAGCAACGTTGACTGATGACTAGAGTCTGATCAACGATGATTATAGAATCTGAGTAACGAATTGATTGAAAATGGGCTCAAAAATAAATTTGAAAGGGGGAAATTCCCCCTTCCCTCCGTCAGGTCAGGTCAACCAGAAGGGGGTCGTGACGGGTATTCGTAGTAAGTGCCTTAACCGCCTCTGACAGTTTCGTAACATTTTACGAAGGCACCAAAACCACTTCGTAAATGTTCAGATGGTTGCTAAATTCGAATTCAGCTCCAAAAACTAGCCCAGAAACATGTAAAACTCGAGAAAGTGAACTGAGGTCACCAAAGGTCAATGACCTGACCTGACCTTCAGATGACCTTGACATCCGCCCTAATGCATGGGGACAACATCCAATCAAGTGTTCGAACGTTAGAAACCACGAAAAAACTGCAAACGCGCGGCTAATGCGAGCTGACATACGCCGAAACGCGATTCCAGCCAAACATAGTCTCGGAAAATAGGTCACAGGTCAAAGGTCATTTGCGTCAGGGTCATGAAATTTTCAGGGTAGGTGTAAAATTTAATGCGAGGGTACTAAAAGTTTCGTCGCGATCGGCCGCTTTTTACGCGAGCTATTCGCGAAAAACCTTAGGGGGGGGGCATCAACCCTCCCTGTGCAGGCTCCAAACACTGAATTACAAGTAATTATGACATACTAAACATGAAAATAGCACCCGTGACCTCCGTTTATGCCCTAAGGTCATCTCAGGTCATGAATACTAACAGCTTTTTTGCGAATATCTTTTGATAGAGGCACGCTAGAGCGATGAAAATGCCTTAGATGTGCTCAGCTCGATGATACGGATCGACTCATATGCAGCACGACCTTTCCCAGTCAGGTCATGATCTTGACCTGAGGCCAAATTTTCACAGAAATAAGGATAAAAAAGGACGTCAGCATGAAATCTGATATTAATTATCTTTTTGTCACTGAGTTTTCCCAAAAGATGTATTTAGGAATACAGCACCTTCAGTAACAATCTAATGGTTAGATAGCTACCACTGTTGGACATAAAAAGACTTGATTGTTTTGCATCGTGCCTTCACAAGCATATGACATTGAGTACAGCCTTTTTCAGCTAAGTCCTCAAAGCATGACAAAATGTACTTACCTCAAAGAATAGTCTTACAAACTCATATATCTCCACAGTCACCATGACTACAAACTCAGAGAGTATTCCTGCTGTATCACTTTGAGACAGAGCCTGAAAAGAAAATGTTTATTCAGTGAATTACATAATCCAATCAAATACATATAAAAATGAATTTAAAGCAGACCCTGGACCTGCTTTCAATGCAATGGGATGCAGTGATATGTCACCATAGATCAAAATAATCAAATATTAGGTAGCTACCAAATGGAATTGTTATGTTTGCTTATTGCTAGCACTTAATTAAATCATAATTTATGATGTTACAAGTCTTAAACTTACAGGCCTTGCTATGAGCTGGAATATATTTTCAGCATGGTAATTGGCCATCATTGTTGGTGCAGGTCATCCATGGGCAGATTCAGAGAACCAACTGTGAGGCGGGCATTTGCCCTAAAAGCCCCCCTTAGATGATAGATATGCCTGGCTAAAATGCTGATGTTCTAGATACTCTGGACTCGCTAACAGAGCAAAGTTCATAAACAGACATTATTTGAGTTTGATGACAATTTATTTATTACGAGCGAGCGAGCGAGCGCAGCGAGCGAAGCGAGTCTTTTCAATATAACGGAAAAATCTCAGTATGAGCGGCCCGGCCCGGCCCGGCCTGTAACGCTTTTGAGAGGCTTATATCTCAGCAACCGCTGGACCAATTGGCCTGCGGTCTTTTTTGCTGGGTAGCCCCATCCCTTCTACCAAAATAATTTAATACTTTTAATACATCTCAGTGACTGTCGTGCCACGTGAAAAGTCAAGGGTGTTCAAGCTGTTTTGCAAGAGTAATGATTTTGAGAGGCCCATATCTCAGCAGCCGCTTGGGCGATTGTCTTGCGGTACTTTTTGTAGGGTGGCTGCATCCCTTCTACCAAAGGTCAGATACTCTTGATCTATGTGACCAGACTGACCCCCACTGCACGTGCAAAATGCAAAAAGAAGAGGTGCCAATTTTGTTCCCATTTCAATAACTCTGTAATTACTGGGGCGATTTCACTGAAACTTGGCATACAGGTAGGCACCCACCAGACAATGCAATCCCATGTGTGGCGGTTAGGGTGCTACTGCACAGTGCACGTGCACACGTGCAGGGGGCGCTCCCAGATCTCGAGAACGGCTGGGCCGATTGTGCTCAAATTTCGTACACGGTTGGGGACCAGTTAGTAGAGTGCCGTGCAAAAGTAAGTTTGGACCCCGTTTGCACGTGCGCACGTGCAGAATGCTGCTTCCAGATCTCAGGAACGGCTGGGCCAATTGCGTTCAAATTTGGCACACTGCTAGCGACCGGTTAGAAGGGTGCTTTGCACAAGCCCGTTGGAAGTACCCTCTCGCCCCTCCGCTTCTGCAGGGCTCACTATCTCGCTCGCTCGTTCTTCGCCAAAAAGTCGTTTTACTGGTTTTCACTTCCTTTGATTTCATAATTCTTACTGAGAGAAACAAACTGAACATCGCCACAGTTTTTGTCCACACTGTACAAATAAACACCACCTGGTCATTTCCCTCTTTTGCACTCTTTTAAAACTGAAACTGACATTTCTCAATGCTACAATTTATGTACCGCCTTGGTTAAAATGCCGTACGCCGAACGGTCCAGCTTAGTCCAGCCAAGGGTCCAGCTCGACAATGGCTCGACTTGTGCTCGACTGCGACGGCCTTGCGATGTAAGTCAATATACCCACCCTGCTTGCGATAATCAGCGGCGATCTGGATCAGCGGCGGCCGGAGATAGGCGTTTACAAGTTGAAGTGTAGGCAAGCAGTGGTGTAGGCCAAGGTGTAGGCCAAGTATAGGCGTCTACATCAATTTACTTGATAGGCGTCAACATAGTCAAACTTTGCAGGCCAGTCGCCATTAGTTGCTGAGTGCAGAACCTGATCACCCCACCAGTAACAATGTTCGTTGCCTAGCAATTGGCTGCCATAGTGCAAACAACGCTGATAGTTGCCAGGCAACTACTAATTGCTGAAGGAAAAATAAAATTTTCGAACACGTTTCTTATTTCGATAAATTTCATTTATGACGCGTTTGTTGCATTTCTATACCTGTTCAATAACTGAATCGTTTAGCCAACGCACCCATATTGCCAGGCAACTTTGGTTGTTGCTAGGCAATTCGTTGCTACCTCCAGGAAATCAATCCTTACAAGATTGGTCCCGAACAGCACCATGTATGGGAGTAACTGTATATTGACATGCATTTATATGAAAATTGCAGGTCGTGGTATTTGCCTTTTAATATTCACATCCACAGGGATTGCATCTTCCATCCCACGGTATCAGATCATGTCATCAAATTTTCTGGTAAAACTTCATTTCTAAGTCGATTTCAAGTTTCATGAGTCTGTCTTGGCCGATCAAGAAAGTCGCTTTTGATACCCTGGCCCTGGCCCCTGGCCTGTGCTCATTTTTTTAAAAATAAAAACCAGACTATTGTAAGTAAAGAGAACCTACGTGATAATAACCTCATGCTCATGCTTTGCACATTTTAGTTGATATTGCAATTAAACAAAATCATTAATTAATATCAATATTTTTCGGCTTAGCCTATCTTCAGGATGTCATGGCGCATGTAATGGCGCATGTCACATTTTGAAGATGTTGATGCAATCATTTACTAATAAAAAACTGGTACCTATCTACGCTACAAGCAGAAATGCCAAAACCTAATCTAGCCTGACCTGTGATGGCCTTGATAACTAACTTAACCTGAGCTTACTGGACTCAACAGGTAATTCAATTGAGAATTGAAATTTGAGTGAGAACTGAAGCATAGATGTTTTTTTGTAAAAATTATTGTAAGTAGCAATGTGTGGTATCAGTTTTTAAACTTAGAAAGACATGTTATTTCCTTAAATCCTTTCATGTTTTTATTTTGTGATTTTCTCTTGTTGTTATAGGGTGCAAAAGGTAGCTGTAGTTGTAATTTCTTAGTTGTGATTTTTGTTTTAATACTTAGCTGTAAGCTGATGTTCATCAAGACAATTTTAAGCCAGAGACCAGGGTTGATGTGTCTGGTGATTCCAGGGCAAATCGTCATCTACAATTTCTATTTTGAACCAGAGTGAATGGGATAAACATGGCATAGGCTGGCATGACCTGACCTACCTACCTACCTATCCTTACCTAACCTAACACACAATAGCTAAAGTTTGACCCAATCTCTAGGTTTTAGTAAAACAATATATTGGATTCATGCCAAAATTCATGCCAAAATTTTGTGTCCAGTTATAATGTTTTTCCCTCATATGATGCTTTATAAATATTTTTATTTTGTTTGATGTCTGTAAGCACTTGACACTTACATCGCTTAGATGTAATTAAACTCTCCTGAATCAGTGTTCCATTTTTCAGACTTTTTGGTGGCAAATCACACCTAATGGGGAAAATATTTTCATCCCTAAAATATGAATGACCGACTTTACTTCATCTCTGAAAAAAGTTTCATGCATTCCCAACAGCCAGTTTACATGTCACTTGACAGTTGGTGCCCCACATCCTTTTGTTTCACACCCTGTCAAGATCCTGACATGAAATCCTGGCATAAAACTTGGCATTTACACCATTTTGCAAAAATACTTCAGTTATTTACTTCCTTTTTTCTCATCCTAGGATTTCTTTTTCTTCATCGGCACACCCAACCAATATCCAATTTTAGAACACTGCTCCTGATTCCACGGAATTCATGCTGTCACTAGGATCTGCTGGAGTTAGCATTCATAATCTGTTATTCTATGTACCAAGTTAGCAGCAGATTGGACCATGAAAGGTGCTATGTTTGAGCAATGTAGTGAAATGCACAATGTTATGTGTCATATTCTATTCTGATATTTACAGGATTTCTTAAGATGGGACGCTCATCAAAGGACAAAAGAGATATTTATTACAGATTGGCAAAGGAAGAAGGATGGAGGGCAAGAAGTGCATTTAAACTTCTGCAGATTGATGAAGAATTTGACATTTTCAAAGGTATATATGCTACCATAGCATAACATATTAATCAAGCTGCCATACCATTGCATTTTATCATGCAAAATTCAGGTTCCAGCAGCTGCTTGAAATTGCTTCAGATAAACTAAATATTTTCAGTGACTGCTCCAACTCTATTGTAACTGTTGTCTGTTTTCCACTGATCAGGTTTAACCCGCGCCCCAGTGGCGGTCTCAGCCAACTTTACCCTAGTGGGGGGGGGGGGGGGGGGGCATATGTTACCACCCACCTCTAACTAAAAAACTAAGAGGGCTAGAAAGACGCGGTAAAAAGCAATCGATAGCTCTCACTGCGTACGTTTGAAAGTATTTCGGTCATTTTTCATCTTAGACCAATATTGGGGTCACCAGAGGTCATCAAAGGTCAAAATTTGCCAATGGTCATTATATTTTTCAGAAAACATGCCGTTATCTCAGGAACTATGGTAGCTAGAAAAACGCATGGAAAAGCAATCGATAGCTTTTGAGCTCTTCTTTTGATAAAGTCATTATCAAAATTGACCTCAGGTCAACGGTTTAGCCTCCAGAGGGCAAAAACTCCAAAAATAGTTGTTTTTACGAAAAGTGTTTTTCGACAATAACTTTCGACTTCCAAAACCCACGACATTTATATTGCCAGATTCGTGTTCCTCTCGCCGAGACGCGTCGAATGAACTATAATTTGATGTTGAAAGGTCAACTTGAAAATTTGACCTCAGGTCAAGGTCATGACCTGACCGGAAAAGGTCATGTTGCATATCAGTCGATGCCTTTCAACAAGACAAACACAATGAGACCATCCCCAGCGTTCTATCTCTTTCCAATCGCGAGTTATTGGCACAAATCTGTTTGTAGCCTCAAATGACCTTGGATGACCTTTCTAGAGGCTATCAGCAAAAATGACACCTTGGTTGTCAAGGGTGGTCCAAATCATTGAGATTCTGAAATATTTGGACCAGTGGCGTATCCAGGATCTTGAAAAGGGGGAGGCCAAACCTGCTCAAGGGGCCCCACCCTTACCTTAGGGGCCCCAGTGGTAGCATACTTAAACCACGCACAGGTGCGGTTCTTTGCCACTTTCGCCACGTGAGGGAGCCTTTTTAGGCACACTTGGCAATCAAAAACTCTGAAGGCTCATTCTGGCCTCTGAAAGCCCCTCTTCGGCAACAGAGTGAACGACTCTGGCCTCAGCCGGCCCTATAATGGCCTCAGGAGACCCATGCTGACCTCCCAGGACCCCACGCTGGCTCTTTGGAGCCTTTGAGTCAGTCTGATGGCCCTATGCCGCTCTCGAACCCACGCCGGTCTCTAGAAGCCCATGCTGCCCTCTGAGGGTTCCGCGCCGGCTTCTAAGGGCCACTCCTACCTCAGGGGGCTCAAGCATGCATAAGATCTGAAGTATGGCTGCCGAGGCCCTCGAAGTGGCCTCTAATGGCCCGACGCCAGCCTATGAAGGTCCGTGCTAGCTTCTGAGGGCACAGCACCAGCGTCTGAAGTCAGATGACAGCTGGCCCCACGCTGGCCTCAGAGGGTTCACGCTGGTCACAGAGGGCCTCACACTGGCCTCAGAGGGCTCCACATTGTGTTCAGAGGGCCCCAAGCTGGTCTCAGTGGCCAATGGGCCTCAAACTGACTTCAGAAGGCCCCACGCCGCTGGGCTTAGAAGACCCCAAGCTGGACATAGACAGCCCCACACAGCACACTGAACATGAAGGTCCCACACTGGCTTTAGAAGGCCCCACACTGTCCTTAGAAAGCCCCACAATAGACTAAGAGGGCCCCACGCTGGCCTTAGAAGGCTCCACGGCTGGCCTTAAAGGGCTGCGCGCTGGCTCCTTGTAGGCCGTTAAGAGGCACTGGTGTGGGGACCTTAGAGGTGGCGGTGAGGGCCCTCCCAGGCGCCATTGTGAGGGCCCTCAGAAACACTGGTGTGGGCCGTGGGGGCATAACAAACAGGTGTGGGGCCCTTACAGCTGATCCCTCATTAGCCTTCAAGGACCCTCAGAGGCCGGCAAGGTCCTTCAGAACCTGGGGTGGGGCCCTTCTGGAGATAAGTGTAGCTACATAAGAGCCCATGACGTGTTCTCAAAAGCACCGTGGTGTCCTTTCACTCCTTTCCAGTTGACCGTGGCCAGCGCGAACCCTCTGATGTCAATTGGCACCGCAGGGCCCCTCGGGCCCGAGGGGACCTTAAACCATATAACGGACACGTGTCTCCTCGCCCCCTGGCTATGCCATTGAATCCAAGTGATCAGGAGCTCGTTGGGTAATCAGGGGCCTCTCAGGTGACTGCAGGGGCTTTTCAATTGATCATGGGCCCACCAGGTTACCGTGACCAGGGGATCCTCTGAAAATCAGGTGCCGGTTATTTCAGGGGCTCCTCGGGCAACTAAGGGCCCTCATGTGACTGCAGAGGCCCTTCAGATAACCAGGTACTCCCCGGGTAAACATGGGCTCCTCAGGTGACCAGGGCTTCTTTAGATGACTGGCCAGGGGCCATCCAGGGGATCAGGGGCCCCTTGGGTAACTAGGGGCCCCTCAGATAACCAGGGGCCTCTCAGGTAACCAGAGGCCCCTCGGATAACCAGGGGCCCTCGTAACCAGGGATCCTTTACCAGGATTCCTTCAGATAACCAGGGGTCCCTCAGGTAACCAGGGGCCCCTCAGGTAAACAGGGTCCCGTGACCAGGGGCCCTTAGGTAACCAGGACCCGTCAGATACCTATCCAGGGGCCCCTCAGGTGACCAGGGGCCCCTCGGGTAGCCAGGGGGTCCCTTAGACAACCAGGAACCTCTCAGACAACCAGAGGCCCTTCAGATAACCAGGGGCCCCTCAGGTAACTAGGGACTCGTCAGATAACCAGGGGCTCTTCAGGTGACCAGGGGGACCCTCAGGTAACTAGGGGCTCTCAGGTAGTTGGGGGTGCTCTGTGTCCGTCACTGTGATAGATATCGCTCTTTGATATCAGTTTTTCTTCCGAGTAAAAGACGTTCTGTCTAGTACTGGATTAAGGCAGGGAGACCCAGAACGCCTTCGTCACGCTGGTCCCCTGAGTCATCCTTGGACCTCAGGGGCCCCCGTGGCCCCCCTTGGGTACGTCACTGCACTCAAGTGACCCAAAGGGCCCACTTGCATAAGGGGGAGGCCATGGCCTCTTGGCCTCCCCCCTGGATACGCCACTGATTTGGACTGTTCCGATGCGTACACACGGATCTAGAGGCATTTTCATTTTTCTCCATTGACTTATAATGGTAAGGTCACGCCACTGACCTGACCTTAGGTCACGCATATGAAAAATCCGAGATATACAAATTGTAGGCACCCATAACATCATGCAATCCACTAAGTTTAAAACCTCTGACAAACACTGCAGGCTGGACATGATTGCAAACTTTTTTAGGCTTGGTCAGGTAACTTGACCTGGTGACCTGACCTGACATGACCTGGGGTCAAAAATTTCACACATTGTGCAAATTGATGTACCAACAGCTACCCCAAGCGGCGCGGCGCAACGCGCCGCGGTTTTTTATTCACACGCAAAAAACGCGACAGGGTGGTAACATATGCCCCCCCCCCCCCCACTGGGGCGAAGGTTAAACTCATTGCACCACCAGAAACCTTATTCAATGATTCAAGTCATATTTATTTGTGTATGTGAGTACTGTGACATATAGCAATAAGGATTCAGTGAGTGTACAATGAATTTGTGTTACAGATGTGACCAGAGTAGTGGATTTGTGTGCTGCGCCTGGCAGCTGGAGCCAGGTCCTTTCCAGGAAACTGACGTAAGTCTGGTGATCACAATGCAATCATTTTGAGTTTGTTGGATACCTATGTGACACTTGAATCTTGATGATTGTCACCAAGTATCAAGTGTGTGCATTGTGTAATCACACAGCTGTGATGAAACACAGTCATGTTATCCCATTATGTATTAGGGATGCAGACTTCACAGGTTTTTGGTGATTATGACTCCTACTTTACAAAATGGACTCTGACTCAGACTCTGCAGCCCTTCTATAATTCAGATGCCTGGCTTGGCGACTGTACCGTTTGAGACCGACCCTCCTCTTCCGCCACGCACAGGAAGGACGGCACCGCCGGCGGCGACGTCAAGATCGTGGCCGTGGACCTGCAGGCGATGGCGCCGCTGCCGGGCGTCATCCAGATCCAGGGCGACATCACCAAGCGCTCGACGGCTGAGCAGATAATCTCCGAGTTCAGCGGCCAGCAGGCGCAGCTGGTGGTCTGTGACGGCGCGCCGGACGTTACCGGACTGCACGACCTGGACGAGTACATCCAGGTGTGTGGGAGGGCGGCGGGGCAGCCCGACCTGGAGAACAGCTGTGGTACAGCGGAGACTTTGGCGTGAGCTGGGACACAGTCGAATAAGGTTAAAGTGGAAAAGGTATTCACAAGATTCCTTATAAGAAAATGTTGTGGGGTTAGGTTAATCTTGTTCGATTAGGAAGTAGGTGGATGGGTTTCCCACAGGGATGCCGCAGACACGAGGCGTAGGTTCCGAGTGAGTCTATATCATTCCCGTCCATCTGACTGTCACCGATTGTTCTGACAGGCCCAGCTGCTGCTGGCGGCGCTGAACATCACGACGCACGTGCTAGCGCCGGGCGGCACGTTCGTGGCCAAGATCTTCCGCGGCAAGGACGTGACGCTGCTGTACTCGCAGCTGAAGGTGTTCTTCAGCCGCGTCACCGTGGCCAAGCCCCGCAGCAGCCGGAACTCCAGCATTGGTCTGTAAACGCACCGCGACTCTGTTTCCGTTTCCGTCCGTCTGTCTTCTTCTTCTTCTTCTTCGTCGCACGTCACGTGGACGCGCCCGCAGGCGCGTCAGACGGGGGCTGGTCGAGCGGCGGCTCGGACCGCCCCACCCGCCGAATGTATTCAACTATCTTGCCGGCCGGCCCGGAGAGGACCTCGTCGAGGGATGGCAGGGGTCCCCCCCAGAGCCGGCGTCTCGTGGTGGCGAATGCTGGGCACTCGGTGAGGAGGTGGCGAACGGTGTCCTCGGCACCGCACTCCCGGCAGAGAGGGTCCGGGGTGAGCTCCAGGCGGTGGAGCGTCGCTCGTGCCAGGGGGCAGTGGCCGGTCCGCAGCTGCGACACGGTCACTTGCCCCCAGCGCGGGAGGTCTTGGAGTCCAGGTGTGGGCTGGGGGTGCGGGTGCCGGTGTGCACGCGTGGCCTGCATTTCCCTGGCGCGCTGCCGTATGGCGGTTCGGGCGCTGGCCAGATCGATGGGCGTCTCCGATTGGGCACACTCGGCCGCCGCACGGTTAGCCAGCCTGTCTGCCGCCTCGTTGCCGGCGATGTCGGCATGGCCTGGGACCCACTGGAGGATGATGGCCGTGTTCTGTTCCCCCAGTGAGCTCATCGCGGCCCAGACGCGCTCGGCGAGGACCAGCTGCTGGGCCTCCGGTCCGCGCTGGAGTAGCTGAAGGCCGGAGAGGGAGTCGGTGCACAGCAGGCATGTCTTGATGCGGCTCCTGGTCTCCCCCGGTTGTGCCAGCAGGCAGGTGAACGCCGCCAACATCGCTGCGAGTTCGGCCCGCATGCTGCTGCAGACCGAGCCCGCCGGTACCAATGTCTCCACTTCGCGGTTCTCCCGGTGCAGCTGGATCAGCGCACCGCCGCCTCCGTCCCTGGTGCCGGACGGAGTCCTATCTTTCTCACGCCATCTAATGCTCTCTAGCTTTCTCACTTCTTCTTCCTTTATCTCCCTCTCCCTCTTTTCTTCCAGTACCTACCGCCCCTCTTTCGCGTGTTGTCAGCAGATCTGCTTCCCTGATCGACTGGCCAACCCCTTTGGTCGATTTAAGCGCCATCTCAGCCAGTTATACCGTATGCAATGTCTAGTTATTGCAATCATTTTCAATACTTCTCTCACCATGTTATTTCCTGGCTACTGGCTGTTCGTAAATCTGTTTTTGCCTTGTAGTGTGTGATTTGCCTAATCATGGGCCTCGTCCGCCCGTATCATCAGCACACTCATGCCGGCTGGCTTCATGACCGTATCTGACAAAATGTCTCTATTCCCTCCGACAGAGTCGTTTGTGGTGTGCGAAGACTACCGGCCGTGTCTGACTGCATGTCTATCTCTCCTTCGACAGAGTCGTTTGTGGTGTGCCAGGACTACCGTGGTGTCTGACTGACTATTCCCTCCGACAGAGTCGTTTGTGGTGTGCGAGGACTATACCGGCCGTGTCTGACTGCATGTCTATCTCTCCTTCGACAGAGTCGTTTGTGGTGTGCGAGGACTACCGGCCGCCGGAGGGGTACGTTCCCAACATGACCAACCCGCTGCTGGACCACCAGTACTCGGATCTGAACCAACTGAGCGGCCCCAACCGGGTGCTGGTGCCGTTCCTGGCGTGTGGCGACCTCTCCGGCTACGACGCCGATCTCACCTACCCCCTGCAGGTCAGTCGTCGGGGGTGAGGTGGGGAGGGGCTCAACTAGCCGACTTCTGGCCTTCTGAGAGTTGATAGGGGTGACGGCGACTTCTTTACGTGGGAGATCAGAAATTGTTTGAGCTTTGCAGAGTTGCTTCGGTCTTTTCACCCAATTTGATGCAGCGTTATATCTAATATGATCATTTAGTTGAGTACACCATGCTCTGCAGACAGCTAGCCCCAGTTTGTTTTATGCTTACAACTCAGCAAATTACTGCACTCCGCGACCGTCAGGCTATTCCTAGGTGTTTCGATGCCAGCTGAATCCGTCAGACGCTTTATATCTGACAGTCCTCTGGTGCGAGTCCGACATCCGGCCGTCCCCCGACTGTCCTCACTGACTCCTCCGGCAATTGGATACATGCCCTCCCTTGACCCCCTCATTGTGTTCCCGGGTCAGTTGTTTGTATGTGCCTTTTCTCCGACTCCCCCGGCAATAGGCGTGATGGCTATGTCCCCTTCCCTGACCCCCTCACTCTCCCTCCCCCGGCAGCTGAGAGAGGGCGCAGAGTACGAGTACCGTCCCCCGAACCAGCCGCCCATCAACCCGCCCTACCAGGACGCAGTGGAGAAGAAGCGGACAGACCAGCTGGCCAAACCTGGCGGCGACTGTTCGGCCGCACCGGACACCGCCGTCTCGCTCTCCGCCTCAGACGTGGACCGGACGGCCGCGCTCAGTCTACAGGAGCCGGCCGGCGCCGAGGGCGACGGTTGAAGGGGGAGTTGGTGGCGGGGGGAGGGGGAGACGGCCCCTTCCTCTGGTGTAGGGGTGTCGGGACCAGGATCACTGAGTTGGCTAGCCTGCAGTGGTCTTTTTTTATTTGGGGGATGGGGGGATACGTACTTTGTAACATTTGTGTTGTTTATCAGATACGCGGTGCTTACACTGGTCCCGTTTGGCAATCAGCTGTATATTGCGAGTAAATACATGCTTTGTTGTAACACATCATCGTATACTATCACTTGTTAATGATTGGCTGGCGTACCATGCTGTCACGTGAATCACAGCGTGTTGAGTGCGGGGTTACGCATTCACCGACTACACGGAATGTTCAAATAGCGATCGAACTCCTCACCTCGCACCAACAGCTCGCCAACAAAGTCCCCGACGAGTACATCAATCGAGAATAACAAATATAATTGTATAATGGCACTCCTACAATCCTAAACAATGAGCAATGCGACACACATTCGTAGAAAAACCCTCCATTGGGAGCGCCATCTCGCCGCCGATTTTCCCGTCCTTTCCGAATACTCTATGAATACCGGTTACCACCCACGCGCCGCCGCTGGCCACACCGCCTGCCGACCACCTCAGAACTAGGCACATGTCGCTGGTATCTTAGTACCTACAAACGGGTGGCGGAATCAATGTGTCCTGGCGAACCTCATCCCGGTGCGCCAACGACAACATGGCGAGTCCCAACGGTATCGGTGTTTGGAATGTCCTATCACACAACAATTCACGTGTACGCTGGTTTCACAGTTCACATGAACCTGGCCATGGACCGCGCCTTCTCCAGCTGGTGCAGCAGCGAGTAGAACTGACTGACGCCCAGCTGCACGTGGCGCACGCGGCGCGCTCCGTCCGGCGCCAGCACGTGCAGCGCCAGCCGGACGAACGTGCGGCCGACGCGCGCCGGCTCACTGCTGGCCGCCGTCACGCCGAACCTCCACTGGATGTCCTCGAGCTCGTCGAAGCAGCGCACGCCGCCCGTCTCCAGCAGGTCGTCCAGGCCGGTGAGCGGGGCTTCGGCCGGCGGCTCGGCCCCGTCCGCCGGCGCCGGGCCGGCCTCTGTCGCCACAGCCGTCGGGGCAGGCTTCGTGCTGACGGCGCTGGCTGGTGTGGCTGCGGGAAGTACATCTGCGCTTGGTTTAGCTGCGTCAACAGATGTGTCTGATTTGTGAACGTATGTAGACCACAGGCTAGTGATGGACTTTGTGGTCTCTGTTGATCCGGTTAGCTTCTGGAAGTCCTCTGCTACTTGAGCTGAGGTAAGGCCTCCTCGATATGATGCCTTCAGGATGTTGAGCAGTATCTTGACCAGACCCTGGGCCTGCCCAATATCAATGCCTGCTGTAGCTGAGAACTCTGAGACAGCCTCTGCCATAGCCTCCTTGTTGACTCCTCCCACGCCAGTTAGATATTTCAGAATGTTCTCAGCTATGTGAGTGATGGATGGCTGTGGTAATAATGCTAGCTGAGTGACACCATCAATGACAGACTGAGGCACCTCGCCAGAGCTGAAATGATACATCATTCCAGCTGCCAGTGCCACTTCAGCTTCAGTGTTTGGCTTCTGTTCAATGCATCTAGCAAAATGATGTTTGTTGTGTCCAGCTTAGCTGAAAAGTGGAGAGAAACGAGATACATTATCCTTGACCATAGCATCTTAAACACTGTTACATTTAATGCATAGTTAGAGGCTATCTGAGGCACTACCCCTTCCAAGCACTACCCTCATAGTACAGTCCACAGCAGAAGTAATGTGGGGTTTCAGTCATGGGTATGTTCTGCTTCTGAAGCTTAGGAACGATTAGCCAGACCACAATGGAACTTTGAATGTAGCTTATATGTATCGTCACCCTTGCAGCTGCAACTTTAGCTATTGACATCTTCTTTTCGATCACTCCGCATTAAACAATCGCCAGTCAAAGCCAACCGTTGAGATTGGTAAAACCCTACATTACTTTAGCGGTGGGCTGTACCTCCTTGATATGGGTGGAGTTTGGAATTCAGAACCACAAGAACATAAATGGCATTGGTAGCAAACATTTAGAAGTATGCATCTGATATAAAAACCAGCTGAATATGACATTATTCAAAATCAATTTCCATGAAAAAACATTGGTGCCTGCTTGATGACTGCTGCACATTTTTAAGACATGTTGAGATCATGATTTTAAGGTGAGATCATGATTTTAAGGTCATATAATGCTTGGAGTATTAGGGTATGTTGCAAAGGCATTGGATACAAAATGATTTTTTCACCAGCAAAAAAGCAATGGCAGCTTAAGTAGGTACCTCCCTAGAATCAGTAATAATTATGAACTGAAAAACAATATTCAACTGCTTTCCAAAACAAATAAATGCCTAACCGTGGAGGCGGAACACCTTCAGTTAATGGGTTTGAGGTGCAGAGGAGCAGGATTTGTACGTCCTGAGGAAGATGTGTGACAAAAAGATTGTCGAGTCTGTTTTTGTTTTGTTGGGCTAGGCTCATTCCGTCTAAGACCATTTCAGAGCCGCAAGGATGATAGGAATTAAGGGGAGACTTTTGGTCCCACCCTTTTCAAGCAACACCCATAGGGATAATGTTAAAATGCAAAAAAAAAAAAATCAGATGGGCTCGGTGCGACGGTGCCCCCCCCCCCCCCCGGCCCTTTCCGCCGCCTATGATACACCTCGCACATTAAATTCACGATCAGTGCTCAGTGCTGTAAATTGTTACGGAGCGAGCGAAGCGAGCGGAGTCTTACGTAGAATAACGGAAATTTCTGAGTATGAGCGGCCGGCCGGCCGGCCGGCCGGCCGTGCGGACGCTTTTGCGAGGCTTATATCTCAGCAACCACTTGACCGATTTACATGCGGTAATTTTTGTAGGGTAGCTTCATTCCTTCTACCAAGTACTGGACTATTCCCGATGCATGTGGGTGACCCCTTATGCACGTGCCACGTGCAAAACGAAGAGGTGTCACTTTTGTAATTGTTGCAATATCTCGGTAACTACTTGGCCGATTGCGCTGAAAGTTGGCATGTAGGTAGGCACCCACTAGGCACTGCATATCCATGTGCCAGAGTTGGGGTGCTGCTGCACGTGCGCACGTGCAGGGGTCGTTTCCAGATCTCGAGAACGGCTGGACCGATGGCGCTCAAATTTGGTACACAGTTAGGGACCAGTTAGTAGCGTGCCGTGCACAAGTCAGTTGGGACCCATTTTGCACGTGCGCACGTGCAGGGTGCCGCTCCCAGATCTCGAGAACGGCTGGGCCGATTGTGCTCAAATTTGGCACATTGCTAGAAACCGGTCAGTAGGGTGCCGTGCACAAGTCAGTTGGAGGTACCCCCTCGAAATTTCGCACGTGCAAGACTCACCCCCTCGCTCGCTCCGTTAGTCGCCCCAAAAGGCGCTATACTGGTAATATACTTGATGTGCAGCCAAATATAAAAATATTAAACTTTCAATGGTACATACCCTAAATATACAACTCCAAATCCAAAATGTCCAAAACCAAAATCACAAACCGTGTATGCCACATATGAAGCAATCACACCAGAAATGTATTACAAACGAATATGTTTAATTGTATAGTTTTTGCAGCTCGCGATTGGGAAAGTCGAGCGTTGCCTAGCAACTTGCTGCGAATTTGAACAACTTCTGCAGGTTACCTGGTGATGGCCAATGCACTCCATGGCTATTAGACTTTTGAACACCCATATCGACATAAGCTCCCCTAAGCAGCTTTTAGTAAATAACTAAAGAGTAGACAACAAATCAAAATGGGCTGCCCCTCTTTATCTTATTTTTGAGAATGGTCACGGTCATAGAATACTAAGGTAACACGGAGCCGAAGCTTCAAGCCAGGGGACACGGGAGGCATGCCGTCAGCTGTCCATTTATAAATAATCGGTTTCTTTGACTTAATTTCTAATGTTTTTCTGATGTTTTGCATCAATGAGGTACATCAAAAATTAAGTTTTATTTTTTTTTGAGGTCGAAAATATTTTGTTGTCCAAACTATCCCCGTTTAAAGAAAATAGACAAGGGGAGAGTTTACCCAGGACCCTATGGAGAGAGTCTACCCAGGGCCCTATGGGAGAGAGTTAACACGTGCTTCTATGGGGCGAATTCGATGCAACAATGGCGCAGTAGCGACATTACTCTTGTTCGATGTTTTTCGGACGACAAAGATTCTATGCCATTCGGCCAATCACATTCCATAATTGCAGCCGAGCCCCCGTTGATCTAGAACGGGATTGGCCGGACGACGTACAATCTTCGTCGTCTGAGAGACATCGAACGAGGGGTACATCGACTGAACATACATTGCGATTCAATATTCAGTATTTTATGACCGTGATTGCAATCCAAATTTGCATTTGAGCTCAGCAGTCGAGTGTGGTGCCAAAAATACCAGAAGCGATGTCCTATATACGGCCTTGACCAGAAGTGTTGCATGCCCTGGATGCAGAAAAACAAGATTGAGATGAGTGGATCAAGATGTATCTTTCGTGCAGATGTATCAAGATCCTTTCACTTAAGATCCATGGGTATTGTTATAGCAGGCGTCTCACATGCTGCCACCAGTTTGGGAAAAGTCGCTAGATTCGTCAGGTCTAGAGATATTTCTACCAAGTCGCTATATAGGGTAATCACATAGCGGTGATTTCAAAAACGGAGTCAGTTTTTTTTTTCTGAGCTGGCGGGGGGGGGGGGCGTTTGGGGGGGATTGCCCCCTTGCCGATAGCTCGGGAACGGCTGATCGGAGCCAGGCTTGCAAGGCGGCGTTGGAAAGCGGTCGAGTAGACAAGCCTAATTAGTAATGCAAACTATCATCGGGATACTGGGGGGGGGGGGGGGCGTAGGGGGATTGCCCCCTTGTCGATAGCTCGGGAACGGCTGATCGGAGCCAGGCTTGCAAGGCGGCGTTGGAAAGCGGTCGAGTAGACAAGCCTAATTAGTAATGCAAACTATCAACGGGATACTGGGGGGGGGGGCGTAGGGGGGATTGCCCCCCTTGCCGATAGCTCCGGAACGGCTGATCGGAGCCAGGTTTGCAAGGCGGCGTTGGAAAGCGGTCGAGTAGACAAGCCTAATTAGTAATGCAAACTATCATCGGGATACGGGGGGGGGGGGCGTAGGGGGGATTGCCCCCCTTGCCGATAGCTCGGGAACGGCTGATCTGAGCCAGGCTTGCAAGGCGGCGTTAAAGCGGTCGAGTAGACAAGCCTAATTAGTAATGCAAACTATCATCGGGATACTGGGGGGGGGCATAGGGGGGGGGGATTGCCCCCCTTGCCGATAGCTCGGGAACGGCTGATCTGAGCCAGGCTTGCAAGGCGGCGTTGGAAAGCGGTCGAGTAGACAAGCCTAATTAGCAGGGCTGCGGAGTCGATGGATTTTCGGCGACTCCGACTCCGACTCCGGCTTTCAAAAACCAGCTCCGACTCCGACTCCGACTCCGGGCAGAATTGTCGACTCCGACCGACTCCAACTCCCGACTCCGACTCCGCAGACCTAGCAGGGCTGCGGAGTCGATAGATTTTCGGTGAAATCGACTCCGACTCCGACTCCGACTCCGGTCAAAACTGTCGACTCCGACCGACTCCGACTCCGACTCCGACTCCGACTCCGCAGCCCTGCTAATTAGTAATGCAAACTTTCATCGGGATACTGGGGGGGGGGGTAGGGGGGATTGCCCCCCTTACCGATAGCTCGGGAACGAGCTATCGGCAAGGGGGGCAATCCCCCCCTACGCCCCCCCAGTATCCCGATGATAGTTTGCATTACTAATTAGGCTTGTCTACTCGACCGCTTTCCAACGCCACCTTGCAAGCCTGGCTCCGATCAGCCGTTCCCGAGCTATCGGCAAGGGGGGCAATCCCCCCTACGCCCCCCCCCCAGCCGCCGATGATAGTTTGCATTACTAATTAGGCTTGTCTACTCGACCGCTTTCCAACGCCACCTTGCAAGCCTGGCTCCGATCAGCCGTTCCCGAGCTATCGGCAAGGGGGGCAATCCCCCCCCCCCGCCAGCTCAGAAAAAAACTGACTCCGTTTTTGAAATCACCGCTATGTGATTACCCTATATAGCGACTTGGTAGAAATATCTCTAGAACTGACGAATCTAGCGGCTTTTCCCAAACCGGTGGCAGCATGTGAGACGCCTGCTATAACAATACCGATCCATGCAGGTGAGGTTCCAGTGAAATTTGAATTCGATAGGTAGCCATTTTTGATTTTGCTTTGATACTTGTGGTAAGGAAACATGATTATGGTTGCATGAACCGCCCACTGCTCATTGCTGGCTTGTCTCACGTTCGATATCCGATCACCATTCTTAAATAGCTCACCCCATATGGAAATCAGGTTTCAGGAGGCCACTAGGCTTGTGGGGCCTGGTCTCAATGAGCTCCCAGTGCTAAGGACAGTCAGGCTCATATGCTGGGTAAGGTCAGGTTCAGGTAGGCCAGTATGCACTCTGCAAAGCATGGCAATTTCGACAAGATCTCGTCTGTGCTGGCTTGTCCGGCTGGTGAGGCTTTGGTGTGGCGTGGATTTAGCTTGGTGCAGTGCGGATTTTGTGTAGCGCGGTGCAGATTTGGTCTGGTGTGGTCAGGTGGTGGGGGTTGTAGTGTAGTGCATTTTAAATGTGGCTGATAGGTGTGCGGTGGTCAGAACGGACTGTGCCAGTGCTGGTGCCTGGTGGTCCCACCAATCACGGGGGTCATCTCCTGTTGTGACCCAGGGCCCAGGGGGTCTAGTCAAAACCTTACCTATTTCTGCTAACCTAAACCTATTTCTTACAAATTAGGCATAAATGTGATTATGGTATAATGATAATTAAACCTGGCCCTTTTTCAGGCGCAAGCTTTGGATGAACTTCTGCTTCTGCGGTCGGCATTCTTACAGGAGAACCCAAGATTCATTGTACCTACCTGTATGCATTTCAAAACTGAATAATTGATAGCAACAAGTAAATATTTGAAGTTGCAGCCAAATGCTGTGCCTTCTCTGCTGCAAGAGCTACATGTCACCATTGAAGCAAGGTAAGTGTTAAAAGAAATTGTTCACCTTCTGTGAGTAACTTGATAAATAAAATTTAAAAAGGTGTGTTAAAAATGTGATGAATAAAATTTAAATGTATTCTAACTTGGAATTACACACTTCTTCTAAAGGGATTTCATTATTTTAATGATTAGAGTTATGAACACTTACAGCTGAACAACCTATCAGCTGCAAGGGATTCTGCTCCTGTAAGTGCTCTCATCGCTGATTGGCCACTGTGTGTGTTGAAGAGGTTTCTGCTTGCTGTAAATGAGCACTAGAACATTAATTTAAGCACCAATATTCACTGATAAAAGGTGAATATCTCAAACGGTTCAAATATAAGGCATACACAAATCTGCTCTATCAGACTGCTATCTCAGTTTAAAATCCCATGTTAAAGGTGAACTATTTCCTCGACAGGACCAGCTCGACTCCTGCAGTAGGAGTCCAGCCTCGTCCAGTCGTCGCCGCTCGCCAAGACCAGCCGGACTCCTGCAATAGGGGTCCAGGCTGACCCGTTCGTCCAGTAACCGCCGCTCGTCAGCACCAGCTGGGCTCCTGTAGTAGGGGTCCAGCCTCGTCCAGTCGCCGCCGCTCGCCAAGACCAGCTGGGCTCCTGTAGTATGGGGCTAGGATGGCCCGTTCATCAACCGGTCCTGAAGTCACATCGCCGTCAGCCAGCCGAACTCAGTACATAAGTCACCAACCCTGAATGTTGCCAGCCAAAGTCGGCAGTTTCCTTCGGACAGTCATCTCACCAGTGTTGTACAGTGTACGAGGTTAGTGACGCAGTTAAATGCGTCAATTAAATGCGAGGACGTGCGCTTGTATGCAGCGTTTTGTCATGTTGAGCTGCATGGGTGTCGATTTTCACCGAATTGAGGGTGCCCACTGCCCGGGCGCAGCAAATCCGCCGCTGCCTTAGCGGTGACCTTGACCCGCACCGTCTGTTGGGGCTCCAAAGCCAAGCCAGCCGAGCCGGCGGGGAATCTAAAGAGCTTGAGCACCCCCAACCCGGCGGAAATTGACACCTATGTTGAGCTGTATGGATGCGTTTTAGCCTTCCGCCGTGGTGGTAAATAGCAGCCTACATGCAGAATTAGGCAGGCTTATTAGCGGACTCATTATTGGATTCATTGTGTCACGTTTGTCGGCACGTGTAAGATGTGCTTAACTGCCATTAGCTCTCGGCCTGGCGACTTCTGGGGACCACGTAATGGGGATGACAATTGGGATCCTGTGCCTTAAGCCGGCCATTTACGTCCATGGCTATATACCCCCGTACTAGGGCTAGTTATGACGTATATAGGGATCCACGAGATCTTTTTTGATGAATGTGTTGTGCAGTGTTGAGATCCGCGTGTAACGTCACTGTTTGGCCAGTCTGCCCTCAAACGCGTCATCTTTACTCGTATTTTATTTACTGAACGCTTTGCATGGTCCAGTGGCTTATATAGACATCTTCCTTGCACTAGCTAGTTTTATGTGGCCAGGTTGATTGCCTGTCAGCGCGGTCACGCTGTCGTCTTTCGATTGGTGCGCTTAAATGCGGCGAGATGAATATAGGATTTCCTTTGATGCCATTTAGTACCTGCGCCCAGCTCAACTGGGGAAGGGGGGGGGGGGGCACTGCCGACTTTTGGTCCCATTCTTTCCATGTAACGCCCATAGAGCCCATTGTTAAAATGCCAAAATCAAAGGGGGGCACGGTGCCCCGGTGCCCTCCCCGTTCCGCCGCCTATGCGCGAAAGTACCAACTACCAACAGTTTCCAGTTGTTTGTGTCCCAAAGTTTTTTATGAGTTGGACGATTGGGCTTTTCCCATCGCTCGTTATGCAATTATTTTGTTAAACGCTCTAAAATTGTTTCTCTACAAGTCATTAGAACTTAGAAGCAAATAGATATTGATGGATACGATCTCAAGGGGGCCGATAAGAAGGAAGAGCGCGCGGCGCAATGATTGTGGAGCACAGCACACGATTAATGTGAGGCGCATTTAAGCGAGAAATAACTTCATTGAACAGAAATGAGCAGAGTACCAGCATTGAAACTGCACCAGTACCAGCATTGAAACTAAATATAAGATATCTCAGAAGGTTGCGCTTTTGGGGCCGAGTTGTGGTGCTTTACGCCGTACATCATGCTTAATGAATGTGACCGTCGTGTTTGTGGGATCCCCGTCGGTACTAGTCAGCCCCACGAATCGTGGTAGATCATAAAGATAATCTTCGCCTCCGGTTATGATTTTGATATATCTACGAAACGGGTGCTGGGTGGTACACGAAAGCAGCTTTTTCAGGTGAGTTGAAAGGGGAAGAAGTTCTTTGAATTACCATTTCGGACCATGGTTCTAAAAAGCGCTAGTTTAAAACTATTGTTATAATTCCTATCGTAAACCATCGGACGCTCGACGCTGCATTGGCATTGGTACGATGTGCCGGTAATCGCTTCGCTCGCCGAGAATGATAGCGTGGCAGGTTTACTGATATGTAGGATTATCAAATAAATGTAATAGAAACGATATTAAATCCACTACCTCTTTAGAAGCTCTTGAAATAAACCTGGCTATCTGGTTGTCGAAGCCAGGCAAATTATATGCTTGGAATGGCTAAATGTCCATTGTCCATGACATCATTAAATTGAATTATTTTCCTTCTTAGCACTTAAAATACATTTCAGCGACACAAAACTCCCAAAAGTCTGATATCTTGCCCGTGGTATCGTGGTACGATCGGCGAGTACCTAAACCTTCCTACGCAATGTCCATGGCTATGCGAAGTCTAAGGTTGGCCTACATAAGCCTTGGGTTGGCCTGTTTATCCTGTTTCATATCGTATCTATGATAATAAAGTGTTCACGATCGCATAGCCAAACTGAGAACAAAATATTTATTTGCAAAACTCCAGCAATACCCCTCGCTTGATACTATAAAAAATATTGCACACGATCATGCGAAGCCGTGAATCCTACCGCCTTTATTTAGCGCCGGCGTTCCCGCGTTAATAATTTCTCCTGAATCGGAGGACCAATAATCAGCTGACGCACCGTTGTTTTGATGTCGGCGGACCGTGCCAGCCTGAGAATGGTTGTGTGTAATGTTTCCCTGAAGTTCTTTCGGGCAGTTGGGAGCTTAGGGAGCAGGAGCTCCGGCAATATTCGAATTCCACCAAGCTCGACATCTCTTCGTAGACGTTTGTAAGTACCTATCCGTATAATTACAATACGTGTACCTACCTAAGCTTTGATAAGTCACCTACTTTGTTGTATGTATTGCTAATGGGAGCAATTCACTTATTTGGAAGCTGGAATTTATTTTATTTTGCTCTTCAGTGGCTTTTGATGCAGCCTTTATGGATTCTGAGCAGTAGATCTTTTATCCTCACCCTTCACCATTCTATCCTGGAAGTTGCAAATTGCCGTTTTTTATGCTTCCCTGTCTCTCCTCTCATCTCCCCTCCCTTTCTTTTCCTTCCCCTCTCATAACAGTGTTCGGACTGTATGCTCTGAACAGTCCCTCCTTTTGTTGACAGCTGTCAGAGCCCACCGGGAAAACGGCTGCCGGAGCTCACACTCTACACCAAGACGCCGTGCCCTCTGTGTGACGATGCCCTGGAGGCACTGTCGCCGGCACTGCACCGGGTAGGTGTGGCCGGCGAGGTGCAGGTCAATGCCGGGGTACACCCACTCCCCAGCCCCGCTGCCTTGGGTGTGTCCACTTCTCACGGGTATCGTGATCCAATCACGGGAAAATTGAACTCCGAACAAACACTCATGGCTGATTGGTGACCTCAAAACATGTCTGCTGACCCGGTGCAGCTGTGGAGAACATTGTTTTCCTGCCGACTCGCGGGATTGTGACGCCGGGTTGTGAGAACGGCGTCGGCAGGGTGTCGCGGCCGGGTGCAGTCGAGGGTGTTGTCCGTGGCGCCCGACCCCAGCTGACTGCGGTAACACCCGGTAACACCCGGTAACACCGTTTCAGGTGACGCTGCGGAAGGTGGACATTACGCTGCCGGAGAACCGACGCTGGTACAAACTCTACCGCTACGACATTCCCGTGTTCCACCTCAACGGGGCCTTCCTCATGAAACACCGGGGCGACATGAAGGTTCTGTTGGAGGCACTGGAAGCGTGGGAGGGGGCGGAGTCCAGGTGACAATATTTGTCATTTAGATTATGACCGTGTGCCCATGAACATTCGTAGATAATGTATCGTTTTGCGAGTCCTGCTGAATGCATCAGCTGTAGTTCTCATGCGTATGGAATGGATCTAATTGCCCTGAAGAGACACAGATGACTTAGATATTTTCTGAGCTTGCGAATATAATGGGCTGGGAGACAGTGACATGTTTGAGATGGCATTTTCGTTTGGTAAGGAAATTTAAGAGTTAACTTGGATGCAACAGTGAAAGATGCACCTTTTTGGCATACGAGCTCGCGATGGCCACCCAGGTGTAAGTCTAGAAAGCGACATCTACGATAAGTTGTGGATACAGCGCCACCTGCGACCAGTGGCTGATCAGTGTTCAGTCATCTTACGATTCGCGGACTAAAGCACACAGTACGTAGGCACTGGCGGATCCAGGCTTGCGTTTTTTTTTTTTTTGGGGGGGGGGGGGGTCAACTCATGCAGGAGCCAAACCTAGGGTACCCCCAAATCCTGTTTTCTCATCGGATTTAGGCCACTTATTTTTCGTCACAGCCCTAACACTATGAATATTTTTTTTTAACTAAAAAGAAAATATATAAAAGGTAGCCCACCCGACCCATGCCTTTATATTACTTTGTAAACACTTACCATTGTTTTTGTCGACCAGTTAACCCGCTTCGAGTCAGTGCTTGGGTCCCTTTGCGGGCCGGGAGGTGGTAAAACACCTGTCTAACTCGGCTCCTGGGCCACGCACTGATTGAACTATGTTTTATTATCGTTTGGGGAGGGGGCAAACGGGCCACTTTAGGCCTCTGGGAAGGGGGCATGGCCCTAAATGCCCCCTCCCTGGATCCGCCAGTGTAAGAGACCATTGGAGCTGCAGTTGGGTACCTCAGACGTCAGGGTACCGCCAGAGCCCCCAATGAGGGATAAGTGAGGGATACCAAGTGCCTGCAATTGCATATTGCATAAGCCATAACGCCCTTACAAATCAATACATTATGTATCAGTGGCAGATCCAAGGGGGGCCACATGGGTCATGACCCCCCTTGGTGCCCGGGGGCACCACAGGCCTGTCAGGGGCACCACCGGCCTAGCAGGGGCACCAACAGCCCGCCAGGGGCACCACAGGCCTAGCAAGGGCACCACGGGCCTGTGAGGGGCCCACAGGCTTGTCAGGGGCACCCCAGGTCTGTCAGGAACACCAGAGACCTGCCAGGGGCGCCGCCGGCCTCGCAGGGGCACCATGGGCCTGTCAGGGGCACCAGAGGCCTAGCAGGGGTACCACAGGCCTTACAGGGGCACCACCGGCCTTGCAGGGGCACCACAGTCCTGTCAGGGCCCAGGGGCACCAGCGGCCTACCAGGGGCACCACAGGCCTGCCAGGGGCACCACCGGTCTAGCAGGGGCACCACCGGCCTCGCAGGGGCACCATGGGCCTGTCAGGGGCCCCACCGGCCTCGCAGGGGCACCACCAGCCTCGCAGGCATCACGGCATCACGCAGGGGCACCTTGGGTCTGTCGGGGGCATCACGGGCCTGTTGGGGGCACTTTAGGCTTGTCAGGGGCACCACAGTCCTGTCAGGTCCCAGGGGCATCAGCAGCCTAGCAGGGGCACCCTAGGCCCGCCAGAGGCACCACATGCCTGCCAGGGTCCAGGGGCACCACAGGCCTAGCAAGGGCACCACGGGCCTGTCAGGGGCACCTCAGGCTCCCGTGCCCCCCCCCCCCCGGATCCGCCAGTGATACCACACCACGCGAAACACCGCCAACTACCAGCTGCCGCGCCATAAACACGTGCCAACAACAGTCTTTTTTTTTAAGGTCGACTCCGCTCGCGCAACTTTTGAGTAGAGGTGGCAGAAGATGAAAATTTTTGGAACCAGACTCGAACCAGACCCGGTTGGACATTTCTGGAACCAGTCGGACCCGGTCTTAGTTGGAATCGGAACCAGTTGGACCCGTTCACCAAAAGTCAATAAATACAAACTACTTGTAGGTATCATTAGTTGCATCATGTAAAACAGCCTATTTCCCACTGGGAATACTCATGAGATACTGTTTGCAAAGAAACATTCACTTCATATTTTGCGGTAATGTGTAGTGTGCAAGATGTATAGTTAATGGTAGGACCCGGTTGGACCCGTCAGAAAAGTTCCAGGAACCGGTCTGGACCCATATGGGTCCAGACTGGTTCTTTGGACCGGGTCCTCGGGTCTACATTTTGCCACCTCTACTTTTGACTGACCCTCACTGCTACCATATTGCTTCCATATTAGGCTGTGGAAAGCTTTACTTCACCAAGTGGCTAAAAACCTCCATGAAGGTATATTTTCTTAGCAATTTTTTTAACGTTTTGGGGGGGTCCAAACAGGCCACTTTAGGCCTTTGGGGGGGCCATGGCCCCCGTGGCCCCCCTGGATCCGCCAGTGTACGTAGGGCACAAGTACATACGCATTACGCAAATGTGCGTAAAAACAAAATTGTAACTATCACTACAATATCACTAGTATTATATCACTAGTATATAGTATATCATATATTATATTATATTATAATATATGATATACTATATACTATATTAATATATTATATAGTATATTAATATAGTATATTATATATTATATATTAATATAATATATAATATACTATATTATATATATAGTATATACTATATATACTATATGTCTATATTATATATATATATATACTATATGTATAATATACTATATATATATATATATATATACTATATATAGTATATTATATATTAATATAGTATATGATATACTATATTAATATATTATATATATATTAGTATATCACTAGTATATAGGGTATCACTAGAAACCAATATAACCTAACCATACCTAGCCTTCTTGGATCTTTATGACCCAACCTAACCTAACCAAACCTTGCCCAGCCTAACCTAATCTAGTCTTAACTGACCGATGCTTTTGTATCTACGTACCTTATGCCATAACGAGCATTTGTGATGCTTTTTTATCCTACGTACATTGAGTGACGTACAATTGCCATTTGCGCTACCTACTTTTGTCCTCAACCCCAATCTTCGAGGCATGCAATATAATCTTGCTTATAATAAAAACAATATCGTGCACCACGACAAAGTCCTACATTCGGCGTAGCCCAAGGTCTCAATAGGACAAAACAATTGAATCGTGTGCTGTCAATACATTATCCGTGGAACTGGGTGCACGGCAGCTGGGGTGGGCGTGGTCGCGTCGGTCGCGCCGTGCTAGTGCTGACCGTGGCACCGGCGCAGGCCACAGACGCCGGAGTCGTGACGGGACCGGTCGGGAAAGTCACACACCAGACAGCGCGAGATTACATGATAAAATTTTACACGTGGAGTCGAGCTGAAATAGAATGTGGTGGCGCATATGCGTCACCGGAATAACTAAATCTGCAACCACTCAACCGCTCCCTTTTTGCCTTTGGCATAGGTCTTCAGTTCGTGCAACGGGCTCCGTATTCATTGCTTGGGAACTTTGCTTCAGATTATCATAACATGATTACATGGCACTAAGCATATTATGAGACTATGAAAGCATGCTAAGTCATATCCCGTATCAAAGCTGTACTCCTTTCTGCTCCCGCTCTCAAAATGTAAATTACCATGTTTGACGACGGAGCTGATTCTTCTACTTACTCTGCCCAGCTAGATAAACAGTGGTATCACAAACAGCCCATTCGACCTCCTGTCCTGTCCACTCAGCGCGGGCTATCGGACGTCTTTCTTCCCACTTTGTAGATACGGGTTGAAGGACCTCCTCCCTACGATGCACGAGTTCAAGGGCCTCCTCCCCACTGTGCACGGGCTGAAGGGTTCCCTCCCCCATACTCTGCCGGGGTTGAAGGACCTCCTCTCGCTCTGCTCGGGTTGAAGGACCTCCTCACTGTGCAGTGTGCACGGGTTGAAGGACCTCCTCCTCACTGTGCACGCGGGTTGAAGGGCCTCCTCCGTGCTCTCCCCGGGCTGAAGGGCGTCCTCTCGCTCTGCTCGGGTTGAAGGACCTCCTCCGTGCTCTGCCCGGGCTGAAGGGCGTCCTCCCACACTCTGCCGGGGTTGATGACCTCTGGAAACTATCCGGGGCTGACAAGTGACATTTCCTTACCGAGAGTCGCAGCGCGAGGTGAGAGTGAAAACATGTAAAAACAAACCTCCGGTAGGTATGTGAGCAAAACTATCCAGGCTCACCCGAAAGGCACCCTGGGAACAAACGTAAAACTGATCACATATAGAAACTGAGTTATCCCACGAGAAGCAAGAGCATTGCACTGTCTTTGCATCCAAGCATCTGCAACACTTGAGCATTTGAGTTAGTGCCAACGCCCAGCGCGTCGGTTACAACTCTGCAAAAACCACCGGCTACTTGCACCAGTTTAGATACGGGTCAATGTCCAAATGACATGCTACTGTTTACTTATTCCCAGTCCCCACGCCCTTAGTTCGCGAGAAGACTCTGAAAGTTCGGAAGCTTTTTCTGTGACTTTGAAAGCCTCTGTCGAAATGGTGCCATGCAGTATAGCATTTCGCAATTACACAAGAGTTCCACATAACAACCGTGACACATAAGGCCGTGAACATTTCTATCAAGCATACTGCCGATTGCCATTTTTTGTCGGCAGCGGTTCTGCGCTGCGCTGCGCCATTAGGTGCTCACTGCTGAGTATTGCTAACGAGTAAATACGACCTCGTTTCGGCCAAGGTTCTAGGTTTCGGCGAGCTACTGCTATTTGTCCCGTTTCCGTTCTCAATATTGGACCGGTTTGAGCACATATAAAGGTAGCGAGTGACCTCCAGAATCACATGAACATATCTCATATGGACCCGTTCCACCATAACATTGTGTGCGAGATCTCCGGGGTTACTTTTTTTTTCGTTTTCAACACAAGTGAACGTGTAAGTGGGCCGCTCGGTTTCTTGCAGGATAATTCCTTTTTCGTTTGAGATGACATTCCATGAACTCAGATATCTAATGTATGAGGTAGTTTATGGCTGTGCCGTGGACAATTTCACAGAACAGACCATGTAATCTAGCGTAACAAGCTTCATGTCTACATCACCTTCCAATTTCTGTCGGGCGTCGGATCCACGATGGATATCTCCTTACTTGTAGCTTGTTTACTTTTGCCCTGGCCTGGCCCAATACCAATACCTACGGCAC